GGGACTCCGGAGACTCTGGAAAACCTGACAGGCTGGAGAAGTACAAGATATAATTTCTTGATTAAATCTAATGGAAAGTTAAAATGAGACTTTTAATATTGTCTCAATTTTGGCCCAGATCTCCAAGGCTGAACAATATAGGTGCCCAAATTATCACCACATTATAAGGCAAGGTGCTAGACTACATTATGTAGGACATGCTAAGACACAGAAAATTTTTTCTGTCAGCATTAGCTCATCTCCTCTCTCTGAGCTATGTAAGGGAGGGCAAGGAATTCATGGGGAAGCGTGGTTGGGAGGGAGAATTTCTTTGGAGAGAGTTGTCAGTGTGCTGTACGTGCTCCCCACCCCTACCCCTTGGTGAGGGCGATGGAAGCACTTCTCCCTCATCTGAAGCCAAGAGAAGAAAACCAGTCAAAAAGCTTAAAATGTTTTCTCTGGAATCTGGAAGACTCAAGGCCAGGTATTTAAATAAATAAAAAATTGAAGGCTAGAGGCAGGCTAGAATAGCCTGTCTGGTGGCAGAATGAAATAGAGCAGAGTTTATTGGGGTTAAGGACACAACTGTGTTTCTGATGGACCAAATGTGGACCCAGCAAGGAGATATAGTTGTAGATCATCTTAAAAGGAACTTCACCAAAGAGATCCACCTGGACAGGTCAGGTGACTGGTGGAAGCCAATGGCTGAAGGCAGAGTTTTAATTGGCCAGTTGTGCTTAGAGCAGGAGGATTCTCCCCAGCTGGTCTCCATTGCTGTGAGATGACTCTCACGCTTCCCTTTACGGACTGAGTTTCCGCATGTCACAGCAGGATGTTGTATGGAGCCTGTGGCAAGCTCCGGTGGGAGAATCATGGTGGAGAACCTGGAGTTTTAGACCAAAGTCATGCTCCCTTCAGTCCTCGTTCTGACAAAAAGCGCCTGGCCGTGAGGCACTAGGTGATCATGCCATCTGAGTTTCTCACCATGAACTGGTTATTATTTGATGCACAGAATTATAAGGTTAGACATACCCAGGAAGACAGCATTGTCCAGTGGAAGTGATAAATGTAGGACTGGACCCAAGCAGATCCTGAATTTACTGTGACAGTAAATTGCCTGAGCATTAGACTCACACTCCTAATGCACTTCCATCCCTTAGGGAGATTCCCTATGACCAGTTCACAGAGGAGGAAGAGAATCTCAGCTTGGTTTCCAGCGCTCTGCACAATATTCTGGCCGTTGGTGAGGCAGACTTGGCAAATCTTGATGGTATATGGAACTTCAAGCATTATAGCTCTTCGAGTCCTCTTTGGCAGGAATGACATGGCCTGAGGTATGGGTCTACATTGATTAATAGGCAGTAATTAGTGCTTTGGTCAGATGATCAGGGACTTTGAAGGAACGAGGTTGTAGGATTGGTAATAAGGAGGTCTGGAAAAGAGATACGTGACCGGACCTTTCATGATGGGCACTGAGTGGGAGGATACTTATATATTGCATGTGAATCTCACCACAGGTCTGATTTTGGAGGAGATTGACAATAATCAGGTGAACAATGTTGTTCAGTTGGCCACCCAAGTGCTTACTCAGTGGGCTTATAAATGTAGCGGCCATAGAGGTGAGCATGGGCCCAGAGCATGAACATTCCTTATCAAGGCTGTTCTGGCTCTGCCACTGCTGAACGCCCAGATTGATAGCAGCACCCAGCAAGCCTGGGTCCCCAATATGGTACAATACCTAAGGGAGACTAGGCAGCCGCTCTGTGACAGATTGATTACATTGCATCCCTTTCATCATAGAGGGGGCAGAAATCTGCTGTCATTGGGATCATGCCTTATCCAGGATCTAGTATCGTTTTCCTATCTGTCTTGCTTCTCCTTGTGTCACTATCCATGGATTCATTAACATACATGAAACGTAAGTTCCGACTCTCAGATTAAAAAGAAAGTAAATATACAAAGGCATAGGCATTACATTATTATGGAATAGTTAACAATTCTATATTTTATGCATGTGGAAGGAAAGGAAAGTGCTTGTGATTCTTAATCTGGAGGAAAAATTAAAAGACTGCTTAGAAATACAGAGATGTCAGTTACAATATTGCTGCCAGGTCGAAGACTCAGCAGTAAGACAGTCAGAGCTGCAGATCCCGCTCGGAGGTTATTTTCACAGGACAGGTGACACCTTGTGAAGCCTTCGGAGTCTCACCAGACCTGGTTTCAATGACACTTCTGTTAACAGAGAAGGGATTTCTTCTTAATGGAGAATAGAAGACATTCTAGGGACAGCTAGGAATGTTGACACACGTCTCCACACTGCTGAGAACAGATTGATATTCTTGGGAACACTCTTAATTTAATACCTTATGGAATCAGGCTTTTTGACGTAGCTTAAGATGCAGAGTTGAATTTCTCTTAGCTGCAAGAAGGGACATCCCTTTCGTCTCTTTCTCAGACTCCTTTGGTTATTATAAAGACTTTCATTTTCAAGGTCAGGTGCTAAAATTTCATTAGCTACATTATGAGCAGGCCTATAGAGCAGAATTTTATTGGGAGAAATGGAGAAAGCGATTATAAATGTTATCTAATAGCAATAAAATAAGGATATAGATTTTTGTCTATATTATTAAACGCCTGATTTACTTATAATTACCTTCTAAACAGACCTTGAAACTTCAGAGTAGATACATGGCTTGTCTTTGGCTTTAAAGTGAGAGAATAAGAGTAATCTGGTTTAACAGTATTCCAGAGAGGAAATATTTAGGGATTTTCTCAAGCTCAAGATTTGCCAAAAATGGAGATGGCTGACTAAAGAATATATAAATACAGCTTGCATTTGCTGGTATATCCTTCCGAAGGAGTATATTATTCAGACTGCCTGTGCAGGATCGAGTTTAAGTATACTTGGAGCTATTTAATTAGGAATGAAGAGGACATGGCGGGAGGGGAGAAGGGGTGTGTCAGCTGCTTCCAGTGTCCCAGGGACTGAGGTGACTCTGTGATGCTGCAGAGAGCAGAACCAGGAGGCAGACCTCAGGTTTCGTTACAAGGCAAACACTGGCCTGTGAAGGGATTTCACCCAAGGTTGACTGACCGGCTGTGGGGCATAATTTTAGACAGTGATTTATTTATTGAATTTGGAATTGGAAATCATCCATCTTTCTTGACCCAACGTTTTATTTTGAAAACTGCCTCAATTTCAAAATTTGGAAAACAGGACAATGAACAGCTCTACGTCCTCCACCTAGACGTAGCAGTTAGGATTTTTTGTCACATTTGCTCTCTCTCACACACACACACACACACACACACTGTTTGATGAGCCATTTGAAAGGAAGGTGCACATCTCGTGAAATTCACCCCTGACTTCTTCAGCGTGCATCTCCTAAGCAAAAGGACATTCCTCCACCTGTTACCATCCATCCTTAAGATAACGTTCAGCTTGAAGATTCTGTGAACCCTCAAGACTTTTCTGACTGGCTTATGAAGGGTCTCCGAAGGCGGTCAGGAAAACAGTATCTGCTTTCCCTGTAACACAGGATTCGTTCAAGGAGGTGGATCCAATCTGCCCTGCCCCCTCTCAGAGCGTGCTGCTGGAAGGCTGCTGTCCTCAAGGCCTCAAAGGACGCGGAAAACTGCCTGGCCCTCAAGAAGCTGTGGCCAGGGAGAATGTTGGAGGATCAGATGAAGTCGTGCACAGGAAAGTAGTTTTAAATTGTCAACTATGATAAAAATGAAAGTTGTTACTCTTTCCCTGAATTCTTTTTCTCAAAGAAAATAGGATCTAGGAGATGGAAAGCTGTTTAAAAAGCCCACCAGAGGGCGCTGCAGTACCCTTAGAAGACAACGACAGTCTAAGATGTTTGAGGAGACAGTGAGTGTATCTGAAAACTGCATATATTTTTCTTCTCAGAAGAATATAGGAGCCAGCCCCATGGCGTAGTGGTTAAGTCTTGTGCGTGCCAATTTGGCGGCCCGGGTTCACAAGTTTGGATCCCGGGTGTAGACATACACCAAGCCTTGTCAAGGCAAGCTATGGTGGCAACCCACATGCAAAAATAGAAGAAGATTGGCAACAGATGTTAGCTCAGAGTGAGTCTTCCTCATGGAAAAAAAAAAAAAGGAAGAATATGTCGTGATTGTGTTGCCTTCTAAATTCAAGTATTGTTCACAATATTATTTGGCATTCTTTAAAGATTTGTATAATTTCAGACCAAAAGATCATTAAAAAATAAAATAAAATATAGACCTATATATCTTATGTTAGAGACTCCAAACCTTTATAATAATGTTTTTTTCCCTTTGGAGGGGTCAAGTTTCATTCCAGTTTTGTTTCAGTGGCTTATCCTGAAAATGTCCATTGTAGCATCTATAATAGTTAGAAAACTCTTATTTTGCTTTTCATATAAATCTTATCTGTTAAATCTTAGAACTATAAATATTTTTACTTACTACATTACTTTATTATAATTATATTGCTCACTGTCACTTTTAGTTGACTATGGAAAATAGATTATTTAGTGCTAATTACAGACTATTAAACTCTGTAAATCTGTAGACATTATATGTTGTGATTATTATCAAAAGTGAAAAAGGCAATTATTTAATAAAGATGGAAATTTGAGAATATATGGATTTTCAAAAAATCTTTATTTTTATATGTGTATTCATTTATATAGCTTCTGATATTCCACTACTTGTGATTATAGTTCATGGTGGTAAAGTGGGGCTAAGAGTAAGGAAATGAACAGATGTTAAAAAGGAAATTATTTAGCAGACTTTTAAAGAAGAGTAGTCTATAGCTTATTGAAACTTATAAATTACATAATGGCATTATATATATACACTATATATATATATATAAAGGATATATATATTTTTTATGTACATATATAATAGTGATTTTTTTCTAGTAAAAATCTTTTTATTATGGAAAATTTTAAACATATACAAAAGTAGAGAGAACAATATAATGACACCCCATATATTTCTCACCCAACCTAAAAAATTACAAACGTATAGCTGATCTAGTTTTATTTATTGCCCTTCACTCCCCACTCCCATCTCTCCAGAACTAGTTTAAACAATTCCCAAACATCATCATGATGCCATTCATAAACACATCAGTTATCATAGTTAACATAGGACATATTCCTGTATTTTATGGATAGAAATGCTGTAATGTTTACAGACATTTGATTTTGAGATGTGAACTGTGAATATTTGTTTAACCTCATGGTGATCCTGGATTCGTCATATCGAACCAACCAGACAGGTTCAGATTCAGTCAGATAGCGTTCCAGATTGTGCCTGGTGTCTTCAAAAGATCAGCACTGTCCGAATGCTGTTCATAATAATAAAACAATAATCAGTATAATTTTCATGACAAAGTTAACCAAAACCCACAAATAATTTTCGTTCTTTTGCGTCAGGATTTGTTTTAATCTTTTTGTGTAGATGCCCCTTTGTTAAAATTTTAAACATATACAAAAGTAGAGAGAACAACATAATGAAACCCCATATATTTCTCACCCAACCTAAAAAATTACAAACATATAGCCGATCTAGTTTTATTTATTACCCTTCATTCCCCACTCCCATCTCTCCAGAACCAGTTTTCAACAATCCCCAAACATCATCATGATTCTATTCTTAAACACATCAGTTATCACAGTTAACGTGGGACATATTCCTGTATTTTATGGGTAGAAATGCTGTAATCTTTATAGATAAAGCCTAATTTCTTTGATCTTGTCATCCTCTTCCACTCATGGCATCAAGAATACTTTCCCTATAGTTCCAGGAGGCTGGGGGAAAATTGGGGACCCTCACTGGACCCTGGGCAAGGTCCTTGCTGCCCAGCGGTTCTGTGGAGAAGTAGCGCATGCTGAGGTTGGAGTGAGGTTTCCATCTTGGAATAGTCACTGCTCTTGGCTCTCCTGTAGCCAAGGGCAAACGGGGCTTCAAAAGAGGGGTGGTTGGTGTGTTGGGATGCTACTTTGTGGAAACCCCAAATTCCTACTCCTGGATAACTCCTTCAACAAGCAGAAGCAGAGAGGGGAGAAGCCTCCAGGACAGAGAATTCCTTATCTCGGACCCTACTGCTGGAGCTGCGGAATCCTTGGCATCAGTAGGTGGCCATGCACAAATGTACTCTTCACCCAGGGGCTGTGGAGGGAGAACCTCTGTGTCCCTTCCTCACCATGAGTCAGGGGCACTGCACCTTAATAAGCCAGTTGGTCACTGTGTCCCATCCCTTTCCCTCCATTTCCTTGCTTCTTTGCAGCTGGTATGGTTGGAGGGCTTATCCTCTTCTCTGCTTCCTGTACCCACATGGTAATCACGCCTGCGGAGGCCCATCCTCTGCCTTCTCCGCTCCACCTTTCCATCTGTGTGGGCAGCCAGGTAGTCTTCTCAGGGGGCCAGAAGGAGAGTAGGAGGCCTCATTCAGGTGTCTACCCCTCGGCCTCCATTCTACCACTGACTACCAGGCCTACTTTAAGACTATTGGAGACTTGCCCAGCAATTAACAAAGTAGTGCAATGTTTTCCATTTGGCTGCCATTTTGCATTGCCTGTGAGTATGTTCCACGACTGAGAACTCCGGGGGAAAAGGGGTAGTGGGAGACAGGCTACGAGCGCCAGAGTCTGAGGCCCTGAACCCCAACCCAACTCCTAACTTGAGAATTACCCCTTATGAGGATATTGAGATTGTGCAAGATATTGTGAGGATTATATACTACTTAGATACTTAGCGTAGCTTAAAAAAAAATCTTTATTTTTTTTCTTTTTACTGAACTTCTTTTCAGTATCTTGTAGCTAACACATTTGCAGATTAGGCTGTTCATGTCAGTAGGGATGTTTTCTCAGGTTTCCTCCCCAGAAGGAGCCTGGGTCCTCACACTGTGGACCTGTTTTCTTGTTTTGCAACATTTGTTCTCTGCTTCAAACTCCTGTCATTTAACTTTAGGTTTTTACCCCTCTCCTTTGTGATGTCTTCTCTTTTTTGTTGCTCTTTTGTCCTGCATCTTCTCGACGCAACATTGTTCCTGATGATTTTGCCCTTTGCTCCTATTGATCAAGGCTTGCTTGATCATCTTAACCAAAATCATTGATCCTAGTCTTCCCCACCGTCCAACACTAGAGATCCCCGACGTGGGACATTTCTATAAGTCAGTTCTCAGGGTCTACGCCAAGGCATCACAATATAGAGCTAAAATTGTGCATAGAATGTTTCTCATAGGAAACCTGTGACAAAGCAAGAGAATAAGAGAGCTGGGCATTCTTTAAGGATCTGATACCTGCCACTCCTGCGCACATCTCCATGGTTTTCAGCTGGTTCTGATCATGAAGGGCCAGGAGTGGGCACTCTGTGTCAGCTGCAGAACGTAAGGATTTCAGACCCAGGACTGCATTGCACCACAGGGACCTGACATTATACCACAGAAACCTCTCTTTCTAGGGAGCAGCCCCAATTGAGTTAACAATTGTTTGTTAAAGGGAAAATATGTGTCAGTTTATACCACCACTCTATGCTGGGACAGTATATGGCAGTGTCCATTGTGGTAATAGAGTAGGAAGCTTTCCCTTTTTTCAAATGGCTATTATTTAATCTTTTAAGCACCTCTGATGATGTGGAAAGCGTCAGAAAGACAAACTGGTCAGTTCTTAACAGCAAGTAAAAATAGAATCATCATAAAGGTTTTTCAAACCAATGATCCGTCTGTTTGGTACTTTACCTTTTTCCTTGGTGCAAGAGGTCAAATGCCTCATTGATTTTGTCAAAAGGCAGCGTGTGGGTCACCAATGCATCCAGATCGAATTTCTTATTCTTGTAGTCAGTGACCAGCTTTGGAACAGAATCGACACTTTTCCAACCTGTAATATGATCAAAATGCCAAATAAAGACCTGGTGTTTGACTTGAAGACGTAGTGTAATCAGTGTGAGTTGAGTGAATGAAATTATTAGGTTAGATTTAGGTTGCTTCAAATAGATTACCACCCCCTCATCTTTAATATTCTGTACTTTAGTCTATTCAAACATTTTTCTTCATTAAGAAAGTCAAGATTATTTTCTATTTCAAGATAAGGGATGATCTGAATATGGTCAAAGTTTAACTTTTGTTCCTCTGTGCTGGTTCATTTAAGTGTAAATTGAATGTCAATTTGCAAATTGTAGTTATCCTTCTATACAAACTCTGTTTACTTTCAAGTACTTAATAGAATAACTTTTACGTAGTCTGTAATATGTTCTAGACACTCAATATTTAAACAACAAATTATTTTCCTTTGCTTTCAATAATCTTCGTTATAAGAATTTGAGCACTATAGTCATGCTCTGCATAATGATGTGTTGGTCAACGGCAGACTGCATAAGTGGTGATCCCAGAAGATCAGTACCACACAGCCTAGGCGTGCATTAGGCTGTACCATCTAGGTTTGTGAAAGTACAATCTATGATGTTTGCACAATGATGAACTTTCCTAATAACACATTTCTCAGAACGTGTGCCCATTGTTAAGTGACACACGACTGTATTATAGAGAAAATTAAAAGCAAAAAAAAACTGACCGCCAAATGCTGTTCCATTTATAGTCCGGCCCATTATTAGCTCCAGTGGAGAAATAGTCAATCCTTTGTCACCCATGGCTACTCCAATGAGAGTACATGATCCCCAACCTACTCTTACACAGTCCAGGGCTGCTCTCTGGAAGGTCAAAGGAAACAGACTAGCTGAGTAAGTAGAAAAGTAGAACACAAATTCCAGCATGGATATGTACAATGCTTTAAGGAGGATTTACACAACTCTGCATGTATGATAATGGGATTCAAGCTAAAGAGGTCACAGTATTGTAGATTGGGACTTGAGGCTCCACTGTTCTTTTTCAGACAGAATGTTCAGCAAATTTTTGAGCTTCATCAAAAAAGATATTGAAAAGAAACAAAACATATTATTTTACCCTGTTTAATACCATAGTTATGCCAAATCTAGAATGTATATCATTGTATATCAAGAAAGATAAACACACTTGAAGAGATTAAATATCTATAGAAGATATTTTAAACTGTAATCAAGTTTTCAATAATCTACCGTGTGTATACACTAAATATTTGCAATTCCAGGGGCATACAGCCACAAGCTTTAAAGTCATGAAGAGAGAGTCAATAAGTGTTCACTAGGCTAGGAAATGAGGTACACGCTGTACGCTTAGTAGATCTCAATGTGGTGCAAACAAAAAGAAATGCTGTTGAAAACAGAGGGAAAACTGCTACACGGAAAACGACACTGGCTGCTGCTCCTCCAACATTTCCTCTGCTCCCCGATGCCTTGTAACTCTCTTGCAGTTAGGCAGAGTCATGTAACTAACTCTGGCCAACGGGCTATGGGCAGAAGTGACGTGTGTCCTCTCCTAGCCCGAACAGAACAGCCAGTGAGCAAGCTGCCAGCTGTCCTTTCTGCTGTAACAACCCAGAGGGCCTCATATTGAGGCTGTGAAGCCACAAGTTTGGACTTCCCTGATTGCTGAGTCCCCACCCGGAAGACAGTGGCACAGGGGAGTTGCATTGATCTTTGCATGAAAGAAAGAGAAAACATTGTATGATAACCTACTGCAAGTTTGGGGTTCATATAAAAATGCCAGGGGTTGAAAATGTAAATAAGTTTGAGAGAGATGTAAACTTATGGATGGCCATTCCACATAGAAGCCCTATGGTAAACAGACGAATATTTAAAATCTTCCTAGACTAATATTATAGAAGAAAAGTGTAAACTTCGTCCCATATCATAGTCAGTGGTCAACTTGATTCTGACCTGTCGGGGCAATTTTTACTTTTACAAAAGTCCCAATAGGAAGTATGGCTCCTTCTCATCACTGATACGCTGCATGAAAGAAGCAATGTGAAGGCCAGTACATTTTCTCCCTCTTCTCTCTCTCTTCTGTCTGTTAGTGATGGAAGATGCAATGACCTAGAACTTTCTGAATGTGTTTTGAAATTTTTATTGCATGTGTTTATTTATTGCTTTGAGAATTCCTAATACATCTAAATAGCAACTCTTCTACTTTCTGCACTTTTTATATGGCAGAAACATTTTTGTTTATACTGTATAGAGAGATCCATGGAGAGGGGAAAAGACCACAGGTGCTACTTGTCCCCTTAAGGTAGCCGCTTGTATTCACTCCTGCTTCTTTTTTTTTCTTAGCATTTTTCCTGTCGCCTTTCCTACATTTCTGAGCTTTGCTCCAAGCAAGGAATTAACTTCCATAAGGATGACTTAGTTAAAATGGGTATATATACAAATACAGGGTTTTATTTAGGAGCCTCTGATAACTTTTGAAGAGAATTACTTTTAATTCTCAAAACCTCATAATATTATCAGTTATTGTAACTTTCTAATTGTTCTGTTGGGTTCTTTAGGCTGCCTTAGAGCATTAAGGTCCCTGAAATGAAATTTATACTCATTACTGGAATCTTCTCTACCACCCAGAAACTTAGCTCTCCCTAGTGATGGAAACTTTTGGTGGGAGGGTAGGTAGCTCATTTTTGGGGGATTAAATAAATTCATTTCTTTTTATTGGGATTCTCGGGGGTAATTCTATTCCATAATTTAAAATACATTTCTCGCTATAATAAATCAGTTAGTAACAGAACCCGCCAAGTTTTAGGTCAGTGGTTCTCAACCTGAGAATCTTGTAAGACATATTGGTCCCTGGGCCCCGCTCACGAGAATACCCTGAGGTGTGCCCCTTCCTTGGGACTGACCAACAGCAGCCACTTCCCAGGCACTTCTCAGGCACAGTCAGTTCTGAGAATCTCTGTACTAGAAAAGCAAGACAAATAGGCTGAATTTCAAGGACTGTAAGAAATTCGAGCTGTGGGAAGTGGAGGAAAGGATGTGGCACAGGGTCAGTAGAGAATGCAGGGCCTGAAGCCTTGCAGACGGGGGAGAAGTGCGGGCCAGCAGCCTTCAGGGCATGCATCTTCAGTAGCAGCTAAGGTGGCTGAGCGCCTGGGACCTGCCAGCTCCTCTTTACACGGCTCCAGGGGCTGCAGTGAAACCGCTCCGAGAGGAGAGGCCCGAGAGCTCTCAGCAGCGCTCCCTGCCCTCCATGCCCTCCTGGGGAAGGACCAGGTCAGGGGAGAACAAGGGCCAGGGCCCGCAGAGCCCGCTCGCGGTAGGAGCGCAGACTGTGCCCGTCAGACCCTCCCTAGGGGAGGGCTTTAGCAGCCAGGCTGAGCCAAGGCGGAAACAGAAGGGCCTGGCCCGCAGCTGCCTCACAGTCTCCCCGAGGACCCGAGGAATCCACAGGCAGATGATTAGTTGATGAATTCTTTGGTCATTTCATTAACAAAACAAAAGGAAACTCTACTTAGCGTCTTTGAGCAAACGCGCGTTAGGTGAAGGTGCTGGCCTGCGGGGCTGGGCGCGCGAGCGAGCTCCCTTTCCCTGGCCGCCTGGGCGGCTCGCCCGCCTTCGGGACGGATGGGCCCGGCCGCCTCCAGGCCGCAACCAGGGCGCATGCTCGGAGGGCCCCGCAGAGGATGCAGCGTCCCAGAGGAGGGGGAATCGGACTGAGCAGCGCTTGCAGCGTTTAGGCCAAAGAGAGTGACTTCTAATTTTGCAGTGCGTGTGTGTGTATGATTTTTACTGGGTTAAAAAATTCAAATCTATAATCTGGACCTAATTTTGCAGCGCGCGTATTGAGATCGTTGCATTGAATTAAGCAGAAACTTAATATACAAATTAGTAAGGAAGGCTGCCGTAACTGGGACACGTGATTCTGTAGAGTGGTTCAGTGGCAAAAACTACTACACAGAGAAATACTTAATCACTATTTTCTAGTGATGTTTCGAAACTATTCCCATAGTTTCTATAATCTGGACCTAATTTTGCAGCGCGCGTATTGAGATCTGATGGACAAACTGGATTGTTGTAGGTTGCTGACCTCTTTTTGCTCCGCGGGAAGATGGGAGTGGATACCTCCCGTTAGGGCGACGCCAAACACCTTGTCTTACTCCCTCCTCTAAATCTGCTTTTCTTTTCCTTTGCGTATTTTTTTGCTGACTTCGTGTAGGCAAATTCTTTTAAAATTTCATCTTTGAGTTTTTCCTTAATTTATTTCTGTTTAATTAAAATTAAATATTGAATTAATTAAATATTGCTTATATAAGAATATGTAATTTATATACATATAAGTATACTAGTATTAAATATAAAATAAACAAATGTATTAATATACACATATTGTCAATGTTCAATGTTAATAAATATTATTTATTATATACTATTATAAAAAGTATACATACCATGACTTCAGATCCACCTGCACAGTCAAAGGCAAAATCCACGCCTCCATTGGTCATTTCGATGATGACCTCCTGGACAGGTTTATCTAGGTCTCTAGGATTGAGGCAGTCATTGGCTCCAAGGGCTTTGGCCTTTGTAAACTTCTCACTGTTGATGTCAATAGCTATGATCCTGGAAGCTCCTGCTGCTTTACAACCCATTATAGCAGAAAGACCGACACCGCCTAGGCCAAAGACGGCACAGGTAGAACCCGGAGTGACCTGCAGACAGGACAATCATAAATTAACTTTTAAACCAGCTGGTCCCACTTTTTTTTTTAAAGGACAGAGTGAGGCAGGGGGCAGGAGTGTATAAATAAGACTGCCTGTCATAAAACTAAATGATATAGCCATTGGGGGAAATCTGTCAATGTGAAAATGGCCGAGTCACTAAATTTGGAGAATCATCTGAGGTCCGTTCGGATTATCAGTTCATAAGGAGCAAACCCAAATGAAAATCATCCCCTTGTTTTTCCTTTCCCTATAGTGTATCAGGACAAAATTCTAAAGCCTATGCATTTTAAAGCGTTTATCGTTTTCCTTTTTTAATAGACCACAAGTAATTTGATGTCTATATTTGTAACAGGCCTTATTTGGTTGTGTTAATGTTATAGTTGATTTTGAATGACTGCTAATATTTCTCTCAATGTGAATTAACTTATTCATCCCAAATCGTCAATCCATCAAATGGAATGAATCCAGAATTTCTCTGCATAGCATTGGAGGATATTTATTATCTGGCTCCCATTACCTTCCAACATCATCTCCATGGTATGCCTGGTACCACAGCCACAGCAAACTGTTGCACTTTCCTTTCCTCATGCCTTAGTTCATGCTGTTCCCTCAGCCTGGTGTACATTTCACCTGATTTCCTTTAATTAAAATATAACCTAAACTTCTAGGCCTGACTTAAATGACCCTCTCTCCGTGAAACCTTTCTTGATTCTTCAATCAGAAATTAATCCTTTCTCTGTACAATGCAATTTATAATCTCCTTGATTGTTTGATTTTGTGTGTGTGTGTTTCTTTAAAAGCCTGTAAGTTCTTTAAGGCAGAGGCTTTTCATCTTCCACGTTGCTGTCAAGGAGTCTTCTGTACGTTGGTTCTTTACTAAATGTTCGTTGCATTGAATTAAGTAGAAACTTAATATACAAATTAGTAAGGAAGGCTGCCGTAACTGGGACACATGATTCTGTAGAGTGGTTCAGTGGCAAAAACTACTACACAGAGAAATACTTAATCACTATTTTCTAGTGATGTTTCGAAACTATTCCCATCAAAGCATAAACACAAGGGAAAAGAAAACCTGGCCAAGGGAGGTATTGATACATTCTCAATTGGAAACAAAATTACTAAGGAACAGAGAGAATGCACACCTCTTACTTTAACTGATGCATGATATTCGGCATGAATGTACTGGCTTTTGCTACCCAGGCGAAATAAAATACATATTTTGTAAATACTCAGAATATCGTTCTATATACACTATATACTATTTGCCATAATATTGCGGGCGTGCATTTAGTGTATTTCCAAACATCTTTCTCCTGAGATTGTGTTACAAAGTTTGCCTCTGAGTCTCACTGAAAGTAGAAATGCATTTTTCCCATTGTAGTAATGTCGTTCACAGTAGATGGATTCTCAGGCTATATCTTTTGGCTAGAATTACTGATACTTCGCTTCATTAACTTGTTCCTATCAGATTCCTCTCTCTTCTCTGAGCATCTCATAAGGTGGTTTAGTATTCCTCAGTAGTGGGAAGCACAGGTCCTGGGAATTTAGGTCAACTTTGACTAGATTTAAAAGAAAATTGTAGCTGAATCTCTAGTGTTACTACCACCGAAGAAAGATTCTGGACGTAGAAGATGATAGTCTGCATGGAGTCCAGAAAAGGGGTGTGTGTGTGTGGCCCGCAGAGTAGAACTCTCGCCTTCGTCTCCAGTGCTGTCCAAAGGAGACTATGCCTTGACTGCCACGGTCACATCAGCGGTTAACGCCACCCAGCTAACACCCCCTTCCCCTAGGAGCCTTCAGATTGTAGTTTGGCTTCTCCTACAATTGTTTTACTTTTACAGATGAATGAGTGAGTAGAGGAATTTGTAGAGGGAGAGAATATGATGATGGCCAGGAGTAGCATTTCTGTCTGCTTGGCCAACATAATTCTCAAAGAAAAGTCATACCTTGGCGTTCCGGCTACTAGATCGGCTCCTTATTTTCATTAGGCTGACTTTGTTTCCTTGACATTGAACAACTTTAGGTAACCTGATAGAAAGGAAGTTTTGGATTGCAAACTCGAGGACCAAGCCTCTCCAAGATGTTTTACGGGTTGCATATGAACGTGGCTTTATTCATTCATTCACTGAAAAATTGTCAAGCTCCTACTATTGTACAAGGCACAGGGCTAGGCTCTGGAGCTATCACAATGAACAGGAGAAAGTTCCTGCCCTCAAGGAGCAAATATTCTAATCGGAAGGAGAAATAAATGGGAAATTTCTCAATAGCATGATAAGTAGTAAGACAGGGATAAATGGATGCTTTGGGGAAAACTGGGAGGGGCACCCAAGGCATGCCTGAGGCTGGGGCAGGTTTCCAGCAGGAAGTGGCAAATACTGCAGCACACCCACAGAAAAGGGGCGTAAGGAAGGAGCATGGAGTCTTCAGATTGGTTGTTTCGAGAGGCCACTCTGGTTGCAGTTTGCAGTTTGGAGTCGAAGGACGAAGACTAGTGTCGAGGTTTAAATAAGGAGGTGGTTTGAGGCATCCGGGTAATACTGACATTTCTCCAGCCTCTCTGTTAAAGAGCTTTGTAAACGCCTCTAACTTCTACCAGGGGATTCCAGGGACTCATCTTGCCACCATCAGGGCTGCCACTGAGACCCTCTTTTGAAGCCCCAAAGGGGGAGATGAGAGGCAGAGCTGAGTTAGGGCTGTTTGAGGGAGAGGAATCTGCAGAGCCTCAGGGAGAGAGGAGGGCCTGATAGATTGAGGGGGGTGGGGTCTGTACTTTCTCTTGTCTCTTGACTGGGTGGGCCGCCCCAGGATGAGCATTCCTATTTAGGGGGCATATTTAAGCAGGCTGTACTTAAATCAGGGACGGTCTATAAGCTAAGGTACCAGTATAGGAAGAGAAATCAATCTGGACTGGCTGCCAGCCTCTGGGCCAGATGTCTTACATATGTAATATGACTTAAGGATCCACACAGCTGTTTGTAGTAGATGTTGTTGCAGAGAGGTAGGAGTAGAGAGGTTAAGTAACTTGCCTAAAATCACAGAGGTAATAAACCACAGAGCCAGGGTTTGAAGATACCTCTCTCTGGTTTATCACGCTGCCTCCTAGTAACTTCTATTTGACACAACCTGGTGACTGACCATTGTACCTTGGCAGTGTTGAGTGCAGCTCCATAGCCAGTTGAAAACCCACATCCAAGCAGACAAACTCTCTCTAAATTTGCATCGTCATCAATTTTGGCAAGATTTTTATCTGACACTACGGTGTACTGAGAGAAGGTACTGATCCCAAAGAAATGGTAAATGGGTTTTCCTTTGCAGGTAAACCTGGAGGTATTGTCTTCCATTAGTTCTTGACGAAAAGCAGGACCTTTGGCTAGACTAGAAAAAAAACAAAACAACATACTAGAAACAGAAACTAAGTGGACCACTGAACTTTCCTGAAACAAGTGCTTGTTTATGCTTGTTATGGCAATTTTATGAGATGGAAAAATTGAGAAAATGACTTGAGACTCTTCACCTAAATCTATAGTCAGAAGTAGTCCAAAAATAATAACGACAATAACAAACTTTTCAATGAATACTTTTTATGGTCCAGAAACTGTTTTAAGGGCTTCACATGTATTAGTTCTCAAAAACTTTTTGTTATGGAAAACTGAAACACACATAAAAGTGGAAGGAATAACATAATGAATCTTCGTGTAGCCATCTCCCAGCGTCAGCCATTATCAACTCATGGTCCATCTAGCTTCGTCTATTACCTGCTCCCCACACCCGCACCTATTCGGTTTGAAGGAGACTAGTTTGAAGGAGATCCCAGACATGGCTATTTCATCTGCAGATGTTTTAGTATGTATCTCAAAAAGGTAAAGGTTCTTTTATGTCCACACATTGTGTTGGGTCTCTTAAGTCTCTTTTAATTAACATGTTCTCACTCTCCCCTTGCTTTTTCCTAGCAATCTATTTGTTGAAGAAACAGTCATTTTTCCTGTAGTTTTCCTCATTCTGGATTTTTCTGATTACATTCCTGTAATCTGGTTTAACATGTTTCTTCGTCCCTTTATTTCTTCTAAACTAGTATGTTTGATCTAAATGCTTGATCTAATTCAGGTTTTATATTTTTGTAGGAATACTTCAAAGATGACGTTGTGTATTTTCATCTGAAGAAACATAATTCTGTCTCTTTTAGTGATGTTACAGAGAATGATGGTCATTGCCCAACTCTATTATTTCATTAAAGGTTTGCACAAGAGTGCGTGAATTCTTTGAATATCTGCAACAACCCTCTGAAGTAGGCATTATTATTATCCCCATTTTACAGACGAGGGAATTGAGGCACAGTAATAAAAGTAAGAGTAGCACAATTTTAGCTTCTGAAAAAACTAGTTTCAGTTTGCATTAGGGACAAACATATCTTTCTACAGTCTCAGTAAAGAACAGGGTGATGAGAATTTGGACTTGGAACCAGACTGCCTGGGTTCAAACTCTAGCTCCAGGACTTACGTCTATGCGGCCTTGGAATAACTCACTTTACTGTGCTTCACTGCACTCCTCTCTCCTCCCCCGTAGAGGTAGCTCCTGTTCTGAGTTTGGCAGTTATCATTCCAGTGGTGTATTTCTATCTTTACTACATACACATATACCATAAACGACATACGGTATTGTGTTTGTATATGACACCTTGCTAAATATATCTGTCAGCAACTTGCTTCTTTGCGTTAACATTGTGTGTGAGATTATTCTATGTTGATGCGTGTAGATTGTTTAGCCATTTTCATTGTTCCATAGTATTCCATTGTTTTACTACATAGCAATTTGTTAATCTATTCTTTTATTGATGGACAGGTGCTATTTTCAACTGCTTGCCATTATCAACAATGTCACAAGGAACATTCTAGCACATCTCTTTGGGGATTTTGTGCAGCAATTCTTGTGCACACCTAGGAGTAGAATTCATGGGTAGAAAGTATGTCCCTCTTCATCTCTGTTTAGGAATTGTGAAAGTACTGCCCAAAATATTTGTACCAGTTTGTACTCTTACTAACAGTGTGTAACACTTACGTGATTTTTTCACACAAATTTGTGAGTGGACTCAGACACAGCTTGCACTTTTTACATTGAGGCGTGTAGAGTGGAATTACTTTGTCACCTAGAAGGAAAGACTATAGGTTGAATGAGTCCTAAGATGTAACTTATAAATAGTTTCTACCTGATGAATCGGTGGACAACACCATTCTTTACGTTATGTATTTTATGTTCCATAGAAAGTATAGGTGGCTACAGTATTCTGTTACCTTACAAGATTGCTGATTCCCCCAAGCATTGCATGTACTATCTTTTTTTCTTTTTCTTTTTTCTCTGCTGGGCGGTCAAGCCACAAATCCTTATTGATATGGTTAGGTGTAGAGTCCCATCTGAGACTCTGCTGTCATTGCAGCTCTCTGCATCATGATTATTGTTCATCACATTTCTAAACACCCTGCATAGAAGAGAAGACCCTCATATAGTAGGAGATGTGGACACTAATAGAGTCGATATGGAGGGTAAACTTTATATCACCGCCAGGTTTCACCATTTAGTTCATGCTCAGTTTCCACTTTCCCTCAATTTCAGTTTAATAATGGCTTCTGTTCTCTGATGACCACAGTCCAATAATGGTAATTAACATTTGTTCAAGATTTAGCGTGTGCCAGGCCCCATTCTAACTGCTTACATGTATTATCTCATTTAATTATCAGAACAACCCTTTGAGATGAGTACTGTTATGGTCCCCAGTTTAGCAAACAGAACTCTGAGTTGAATCACAGAAAAGTGACTTAATGGTGAAGGTCACACAGCCAGTAAGTGACAGAGCTGGGACCCGTTGGCCAGATTCCTTCATGGATGCAAAACTTTTGGGAGCAATTTCTTTCTCTGGTCTTGTTTGGAATGGAAAGATACTAATATGCCTCTAAGTGTGGAGCCCTCTCATTAAAGGAGGAAAGAATCATACGGTTCAACCTGCCTGACAAGTGAGGCCATTTCTGCCTGATTGCTTGGCCCATATTCCAGTGTTCGGTGGGTCTGTTATAAAATGTGAAGTAAATAATTTCAGCCATTGGCATGCTTCATTTACGTATTAGTTTTATCTTACAAACTTTCAAAAATACCCTTAAGCTAACGTTCACAGACATATAATGTTTCTTACTTAAGCTACCTGTGAGTCTTCATTCTTTAAATTCTTTATAATATTAAACTAGTTTTCTGTTTCGTTTAGAGGAGGTTGTTATAAATTGTCATTTAGTCCCCACGGAAGCTTTAGTTAAACCGACTTTGTAACTTGGCTTCATAGGACAACTTCTTAGTGCTGTACGTAAACAAGTGGCCATATTTCCCGTTGTTATTAGACAGTCCTGATTTCAAATATTCTGTCCCATTGTTAGAGTGTGATGGATTGTGTGTCTCAGTTTTGCTTTGGAAAAGATGTTCCCCCAGATAAACAGAGATCGATTACAGCCTGCAGAGCCAGGACTACATCAGGAATTATCGCTGAAATGCTCTGACATTTCCATTTAACTGGAACCAGAAAATAAAATACCTGGTTTGAAGCCGGTCACTCCTGGCCCAACACTTTCCACAATCCCGGCACCCTCGTGGCCAAGGATCACTGGTAAGAACGTCTCCTCAGCTTTCGGGTCAATGGGATGGTGGTCACTGTGGCACACAGCAGTGGCAATGATCTGCAAGCAACCACAGACTCAAGTTGTGTTTCTGTAATTATATCAGTGGGGTTGATCAGTGGATAATCTTAGGTCCGATGTCACCTTGAAACTTTACGACATGCTTAGAGCTCAATAAAAGAGTTATATTTTGACCCGCCCCCAAATATGTGAGGATATATTCTTTTCCTGTTGTCATGCACCTTTGTTTTCTACCTTTCACTGTCTTTGGAAAATCACAAAAAGAGAATAGGCAGTTAGTGTGTCCAGGAGGAAAAATCAAAGGTAATAGGGAAAATTTAAAGTCTATTAGGCAGAAGGAATGGAGGGAAGACAGGGTTCTAGGGGTGTTCAAATTTTGTGGAAACTACATGAAATGAAATAGAGGTAATAAAACTTTCATAGTTAAAAGAGAGAGAGATCAAATAAAGGATTATCTAAACTAATTACCCATGCATCCCTGTATTATTATTCTTCAGGATTCAATTCATCAGAATATCCTGTTCATTCCCATGGAGAAACCCTTACTGTGGTGGTCCTGGAGGGAAATATCGACCTGGCCAGCAGCGTGGAAAATGGAGCAATGGTCCCAGCTTGCCGTCTGTGGTCCCACTCTACTCAGTTCAGTCTCTTTTCCCTGCTCACCCACACCTGTCCCCTCCTCTGGGCGCCCAAGATGCTTATGCTGCCCGGGACAGCATTCAGTTTTTCCTCTCCCTTCTTTTGAACCAAATTCTCTACCTCCTTTAATAACACTTTCCAATCACTGGCAATTGGAAAACAAAAAGAAAACCTAACTAATTCTAATCCAAAGTGAATTCCTTTGTCTGATTTCCAGGGTCAATGACAAATGTTAGGATAGGTCAGTTAAATTTTAAGCCCATTATGAAGAACAAATGAAACAGAATTAATAATTACCTCTTCTGGAGATAATGCCTGTTTTTCTCTGAACCTGAAAATGTGATTCCCCCTAGTGGGAACTCTGGGGATCTCCGTTGTATGTCCCACAGAGGCGTGACCTGGCAGAAGCCAAGTCTGCACTTAGGATCTTGTCTGTCCCGCCAAGGCAAGTTCCCACTTACCTGAACGCGAACTTCATGAGCCTTGGGGGGATCGACCTCAACCTCTTCGATGCAAAGGGGCTTGCCTGCTTCCCAGGCTACAGCTGCTTTACATTTAATAACCTAAGAGAGAGGGAGAGGGAGGGAGAGGGGAGACGGAGAGCAGGCGTGGGAGAGGGAGTGAGAGGGAGGATGGGAGGGAGGGAGAGAGGGAAAGACAGGATGTTATGGGGAAAAATTAAAGAGCACGTTGATACCATAATTTCATGAAAAGGAGCAATGGATTTTGTGGCTGGATGCTATCTATACTTATATTATTTTAAACACAAATGATCTTAATGGAAAATAAGAAGTCATATTCTGCATTATAGTGATTGCACTCTTAAGTTTTGAAAAGAACAGGTGTATTAAAGTTTATCTTAATATAATGCCTTGATTTTTTTTCTCCATAACAGAGAGGATAAATTTATAGGGTTTGGACAGCGTATATGGCCAATAAGTATTTGTTGACTGAGCAATTTGATATCAGCTGTGAATTACCTGAGTCCTTGTTGCTAGAGTACAGGTGTGTTTCACATCTTTGCTACTCAAAGCATGGGCTTCCCTCGGACCAGCAGTTATTGACATCACCAGGGAACAAGCTCTGTGCCAAACCCACTAAGTCTAAATCTGCCCTGGAACCAGGTCCCCAGGCAGTTCATGTGCACATGGAAATCTGAGCAGAGAGGCTCACACAATTATGAAATTCACCAGCAGAATATAAATTCAATAGAAATTGGGTCTCTTTGCAAGAATTTGGGTAAAAATGTATGAAAAGAAATTAAGCATCAAGATTCTATAATCTCCATATTAAAACTTTATTTGGCCTCTTAAAATTGTATTTTTAATTTTAAGTATAAGTAACATTGAAAGAAAGTGCAAAGAAACAAACCCATAATCCTCGATTCTAATGCTACTAATTTTGCTTTTGGTATGATTTTCCCAGTCTTCGATCACACGAGTACATATTTTTTGATAGTTGTTATGCAATTTTGAATTACATGTTTAAATATCATTAGTCTTATTACAAATGTAATATGTATTTTTTTTAGAGAAGTTTCAAAATACAAATAAGAAGAAAAGAAACAAATAAAATCCACCTGTAAATTTTATTACTCATTTTATGATTTTGAGGTAAACCCTTTGAGTATTCCCAATGGGATCATATTGTATATAATATTTTGTAATCTATGTTTTTCTACTTATTAATATACTATGAAAATTTTCTATATTGTTCTCTAGTATTATTTCACATAAATGTAAATGTTATTTTATGGGGCTAGCATAGTTACTCAAATCTCTCTTTTTTGGCCATTATGAATAATATTTAATTGCACACCCTTGTTGCAAGCATTTTGACAAATCCACAGAAATTTCTTTAGAATACATTCCTAGCATGAGGGTCATTCATATCCTTTTGATCAGCTTTAAATTGCTGCTTTCTGAGAGCAATCCCCAAAGAAAGTTTCATTTAGCAAATGTATAAAGAGACAACAAAAACAAACAAAACAAGAGTTGAACAAAGAAACAGTATGTTGGCTTACTTTGCCTTTGGTGCCCATTTTCCTCTGGGAGCCTCGCTTTGGAAGTTTCTCTCTGACTTAGGAAGCTCTGCCACTTCTATCCAGCTGCTCTGAGTCCTGTAATGAACTGTGCAAATAAATACCATTCCTGCTCTTTCATTCTCCAATCACTGTCTCTCCTTTTTTGTTTCTGTGATCTCCAGCTCTGCCTGTCTCTCGCCAGGTCATCTGTGCTATCATATTGCAGGTGCTAATGCCGATTGCTCCCAGCAGTTATTTGGAGAAGATTCTTGTTTACTCATTTTTTTCCCCTTTTTATTGCAGAATATAAGATAATAGAGAAAAGCTCATCAAAGATATACAGATGAGTTAACACATAATTACAAAGTAAAGGACATTTCCGCTGGCCCGGAGTCCTTCCTGTTTCCGTCCTTCTCCTTCACAGCCCTAATCATTCCCTCACATTTCTTTATGATTTTGCTTCTCTTTACAGCACAGTGTAGTTTCACCTACTAAAAACTTTATGTGCATGGAATCTTAGTGTATGCATTCTTTCATATCTTTTTCTTTCTCTCAACTCTGTATTTGTGAGATTCACCTACGTCGTCCGTGGCTGTTCATATATTTTCATTATCATCCATTTTCCTTTTTGCTTGTGGTGAATCAGTGGTTGCATAAAGTTCTTTTCGTGTATCCTGTTGTACACGTGCTTGAGTTGCCATAGGGAGGGTTCAGGATTAATAAGCAGCCAGTACCCACTATTAAGGTGATGTCCACTATTAAAATAGTTGGTAAAAAGCCTCTGCCCCAAACTCCCAAGTTCCCTTTCAACTCTGTTCCAGCCCTGAGGAGTCCTCTTTAGTCACTGCTGAGGAACTACTTCCATGCCCCTTCGGTTGTGTGAGTCCGTCACCTGGCTCCCAGTGGTTCTGGGTCTCTGGCTGTGCCCAGTACAGAGTAGTCCCTGGACCTCGCTGGACAATACCGAAGTGCCCCCATGCACCACACTTCCATGGCTGTTTGTGGGAAATGGAGTGTCTCATATCGGTTGTTAAATATTTTGACTGGGAGTGGAATTGCCAGTTCTTCAACTTTGATTGATTAGGTCAAAGAGTTCTATAAAGTGGCTGAAGCTCCCAGCAGCACTGTACGAGGGTTCCCATTGCCTCACATCCCCACCTACGCTTGGACTTGCTGGACTTTAAAACTTTTGATAGTCTCTGGGTGTATAATGATGTGTAATTGTATTTTTAAATTGTAATTCTCTGATTATCAATGAGGATAAGCAGCAGGGGTATACTGGAGCCAGCTCATAGTGATTTTTGGTCTGCTTTTAACTACTGAGAGATGTTTAAAAATTGTTGTTATGAATTTGTTCATTTCTTATAGTTCTTTTCTTACTTTTTGCTTTACATATTTTGAGCCTTGATCTTAGTGCATGCAAATGTTCTGTGTTGTACGTGTTTTTAAAAAGTTTGACAACATGTTTTACCATCTTTTCTCTGTTGGTATGTTTGGTTTTCTCTGTATCGTTTCTTTTAATGGTCCCATGGTATTCTCCTATCTCCTCCAGACTTTAGCTAACATTTTATTGTTGAATATTTAAGTTGTCCTATTACACTCTTGGAAGTAAACTTTATACTCCTTGCTTCTACTTTCTTACTACCCACATTTCACTTCTTAACTTACCTGGTTTCCATCTTTATCCTTTAATGGAAACTGTTTTCTTTTTAAAAAATTTTTTAATTATTTTATTGAGGTCACATTGGCTTATAACATTGTGTAAATTTCAGGAGTACATTATTATATATCAGTTTCTGTATAGACTGCATCGTGTTCATCATCAATAGTCTAGGTGTTCTCTGTCACCATACATGTGTGCCCCTTTACCACTTTTGCCCTCCCCCACCCCCTTCCCTATAGGTAAACACTAATCTGTTCTCCTTAGCCATGTGTTTGTTTATCTTCCACATGTGAGTGAAATCATGGTGTTTGTCTTTCCCTGTCTGGCTTATTTCGCTTAACATAATACCCTCAAGTTCCAACCATGTTGTTGCAAATGGGATTTAACATTTTTTATGGCTGAGTAGTATTCCATTGTAAATATATGCAACATCCTCTTCATCCATTCATCCGTCAATAGGCATTGGGTTGCTTCCATGTCTTGGCTATTGTGAATAATGCAGTTTATGACCAGAGGTAACCAGAGGAGATAAGGAAAAATTAAATGCTGTCACTGAAGTCTTGTGGTTTCCAATCATGGTCTTAGTTGGTGATCGGCTGACTCAAGCCTGTCATTTCTTTTCTCCAGCATATTTATGCCACTTAACAATAACCAACTAAACCCACAGTCCTTATAGTTCCCATTGCCATCATATCTCTCAGGTGCTAATGATATCGCACAAGGCAGTGCAAGCCCTGCAATCTGCATCTCATCCCCATCCACTGCAGGAGACAGTGATTGCCGAGCGGGATTATTGCCTACTTACCACCAGTGTTCTAGTCGTCTATTGTGTAGCAGCTCAAAACACAAACATTTGTGTTCTCAAAGTTTCTGTGGGTCAGGAATCCAGGAGCAGCTCAGCTGGGTGGTTTGGTTCAGGGTCTGTCACAAAGCTGTGGTTGAGCGTTGGCCGGGGCTGCAGTCATCTCAGGGCTGGACCGGGAAGAATCCTCTTCCGATTTCACTCACATGGCTGCTGGCAGGCCTCAAAGGTGCACTTCCAAGCTAACTCAGGCCCTCTCCATAGGGCTGCTACATGATATGGCAGCTGGCTTCTCCCACAAAAAGCAATGCAAGAGAGAAGCTCCCACGATGGAAGCCATGGTCTTTTTAGAACCCAATTCCAGAAATAGTATCTCATCATTTCTGCTTTCAAAATGGAGTCAATAAGTCCAGCCCATATTTAAGGAGAAGGGATTACCCAGGGGTGTCAATACCAGGAGGTGGGGATCATGGGGTCCATTGTACCACAACCCACAATGATGTCCTTTTGCCATCTTGTTGACAAGTGATCCAATTCCAGAATCCTGTCTTAGGACCTGCTTCCTAGGACTCTTTCTGGTACCATCTGTCTTCGTTTGGGCTCCCCCAGAAGCAGGTCTCGAGACAAAAATTAGACCTTTACTAGTTTGATAACAAGATGAAAAGTAGGGAAGGTGATACAAGGAAGGGAAGGCTGCCAATAAAGAGTGCATATTTTTATTGTGATAAAACATACATGACATAAAATTTTCCACTTTAACCATTTTTAAGCACACAGTTCAGTGGCGTTAAGTAGATTCACATTGTTGTGCAACTGTCACCACCATCTATGTCCAGAGCTTTTTCACTCGTCCCAAACTCAAACTCCCTACACATGCAACACTAACTGCCTATTCTTCCCTCCTCGCAACCCCTGGCAACCACCATTCTACTCTCCATCTCTGTGATTTTGACAACTCTAGGTACCTCATGTAAGTGGAATCATTCATTAATTATACTTTTTGACTATCTTATTTCATTTAGCATAATGTCTTCAACGTTCAACCATATTGTAGCATGTGTCGGAATATTTTCAGTTTTAAGGATGAATAATGCTTAGGACAATTGTTACAAATTCTAAACTAAGTCGGTCCCTGCCCTCAATTACATGGGGAGAGTGTGGCGCCATGTGGCAAACCAAACTCCAAAATGGCCCCCAGTGATCCCTGCCACCCGGTGTTCATGTAGTCACCTTCTACACGGAATAGGGCTGAACTGTGTAATTAATAGAGTGTTGTCGAGATGATGGAGTGTGACTTCTGAACTGAGGTCATAAAAGACGTTGTGACTTCTGTCTCACTCTCTCTGGATCACTGGCCATGGGAGACGTCAGTTTCCATATCTTCAAGCAGCCCTGTGAAGAGGTCCAGGTGGTGGAACCAAAGACCCTCACAAACAGCCAGCGCTAACTTTCCAACCATACGAGTGAGCTGCCTTGGAAAGCAGTCCTTCCAGTCCTAGGCAAGCCTTCCGATGACCACAGTCCCAGTCGACATCTTCACTGCAGTCTTCTGATAGACCCAGAGCTGGCACCACCCAGCTAAGCTGCTCCTGAATTGTTGACCCACAGAGGCTGTGAGATAATATATGTGATTGTTTTGGGACACTAAGTTTTGAGGCAATTTGTTATGCACCAATAGATAACAAATACAGACCGTTGCATAACCAGTATGTAACTTTTATCTGTGTGACGGATTACGGTAGAGTTAGATCCAAGGGGTGGTACACACCCAGACGATGAAGTAGTAACTCTGCCACAGACAAGGCTGCAATGCAGGTCTCTGTGTATTCTGTGAGCCTGCTGATCACTTGTTGATTGCAAAATGATCAGAAACGGAAGTATTTCTTTCTTTGTTTGGAGGCAACCAAGCATATTTTCTTGTATGAAGGTCTAAAAGTGAGGACAACATAATTTTTCCAGTTGAGTTTGCCTTTTTATACCAAGAGGCTAGATTCCCAAATTAATGTTTCTCTTTATTTTTCAAGGTTAGAAAAGTAACCAACAATACAAGTGGTCAAATAAAAAGCTTTCAAACAAAATATTTTAAAGAACTTTAACTCATTGATCTCCCCCCACCTCAAGAAATTCTTTAATAAACTGGAATGCCTCATCTTTCACAGAACTCTTATAGGGACTATGCTGTCATTTTGGCTAACCTAGTATTAATGTCAGCTCAGACTCTGTATCTGACAGTTCTTGAACATTCTGGATATTCCTTCTTTCCCCATGCTTAATTATGCTAGTTTGTCTGCATGGGGAAGGATTGGGGGAATTGCTCATGCATATATTTACTGTGTCGTGCGTCTTTTTGGATGAGGACCTAGCCTCCCCTTCAAGTGATGCATTCTGGACTTGAGAATTGCCTCAAGTTTGGGAACTGGTTGGAGCAATCGTGATTTTCCGTTGTGGCAGTTGACATCAGCCTTTGACCCAGCTATTATTACTATTTCTTTGATGTATAAGTCAAGCAGGACCCTATCCATTGCAGCTCCAGGTATACCATGACCTGTTGACCATCGCAGATCCCTGTAGGTCAGAGCCCTCTGGTTGACATTCAGCCTGTTTGGATAATTACATCTGTCTCACATTCATGGTGAAGTGCTGCCTACTGGCTTCTACTATTTCAGAATCGTCTCATCCCCGTTGACACCAGGGATGTCCTACTGTTATGCTTGGTATACAAGCATAGACACTGCTCAGCTTCTCAGTGAGGCCAGTGCCTTCATCCCCAGCCCCACACCGTTGACGCACTTCTTGTTGCTTTAGTGAAAGGAGTGTCCCTTTTGGATCCCCCTGAGGAACATGGTCGCTTGGCAGGTTTTCCAGTCTTATAGATAGATCCATTCTAACACAGTCACCCCTCAGAGCCTCTTGACTGCTTTGGTACTCTGCCACACCAGTCCTTGCATCACCACCTCACGTGTTGGAGGCCCTTATTTTTTTTCTCCTAAGCTTTGAGGAGCCATTCCAGTGGCACAGAACTGGCTCCAGGTGTCCTTCCCAGGGATTAAACCCTAAGTTACAGGAGATTGCACCCATTTCAACATCTTCTCCCTTGTATTGTGCTCCCTTGGTTTAGCATATCATGATTGATTTCCAACATCTTTTTCCAGTTTCTGCTGGTACCTGTGAGCCAGTTTCTGTAGTCTTTTGGTGAATTATTTCCCTAGTTAAGCTGAGAGTTGAACTGACTTATTGGCCTAGGAGTTATGAGAGGAAGTAGGGGTATCTTAAGGGGAGTAGGTATTGTCTTATGAGGCATTGACCCTGGTAACCGCCCTCGTGGTCTCCAGGAAGGAGAGGCTGCTCTCCTGCAGTGAGGGGGAAGTGGGCCGCTTCTTTAGGCCTAGCGGGTTGAGGAGAATCAGAGGTTCAAGGTTCTCAAGATGCTCCCCATTCAGTTTTAAGATCTTACCCCTTCCTGTCAGAGGCCTGATTTTAGTGTCAGAGATTTATGGGGGAACTATAGATGCAAGCTTCTCTGCAATTCAGCTAATCCCATAGTCAGATCCTAGGCTTGATTTTTAGCCCAATCTGTCCTCTGGTTGCAAGGAAAGTTTATGACCAGAGGTAACCAGAGGAGATAAGGAAAAATTAAATGCTGTCACTGAAGTCTTGTGGTTTCCAGTCATGGTCTTAGTTGGTGATCGGCTGACTCAAGCCTGTCATTTCTTTTCTCCAGCATATTTATGCCACTTAACAATAACCAACTAAACCCACAGTCCTTATAGTTCCCGTTGCCATCATATCTCTCAGGTGCTAATGATATCGCACAAGGCAGTGCAAGCCCTGCAACCTGCATCTCATCCCCATCCACTGCAGGAGACAGTGATTGCCGAGCGGGATTATTGCCTACTTACCACCAGTGTTCTAGTCGTCTATTGTGTAGCAGCTCAAAACACAAACATTTGTGTTCTCAAAGTTTCTGTGGGTCAGGAATCCAGGAGCAGCTCAGCTGGGTGGTTTGGTTCAGGGTCTGTCACAAAGCTGTGGTTGAGCGTTGGCCGGGGCTGCAGTCATCTCAGGGCTGGACCGGGAAGAATCCTCTTCCGATTTCACTCACATGGCTGCTGGCAGGCCTCAAAGGTGCACTTCCAAGCTAACTCAGGCCCTCTCCATAGGGCTGCTACATGATATGGCAGCTGGCTTCTCCCACAAAAAGCAATGCAAGAGAGAAGCTCCCACGATGGAAGCCAAGGTCTTTTTAGAACCCAATTCCAGAAATAGTATCTCATCATTTCTGCTTTCAAAATGGAGTCAATAAGTCCAGCCCATATTTAAGGAGAAGGGATTACCCAGGGGTGTCGATGCCCAGAGGTGGGGCTCATGGGATCCATTGTACCACAACCCACAATGATGTCCTTTTGCCATCTTGTTGACAAGTGATCCAATTCCAGAATCCTGTCTTAGGACCTGCTTCCTAGGACTCTTTCTGTGTACCATCTGTCTTCGTTTGGGCTCCCCCAGAAGCAGGTCTCGAGACAAAAATTAGACCTTTACTAGTTTGATAACAAGATGAAAAGTAGGGAAGGTGATACAAGGAAGGGAAGGCTGCCAATAAAGAGTGCATATTTTTATTGTGATAAAACATACATGACATAAAATTTTCCACTTTAACCATTTTTAAGCACACAGTTCAGTGGCGTTAAGTAGATTCACATTGTTGTGCAACTGTCACCACCATCTATGTCCAGAGCTTTTTCACTCGTCCCAAACTCAAACTCCCTACACATGCAACACTAACTGCCTATTCTTCCCTCCTCGCAACCCCTGGCAACCACCATTCTACTCTCCATCTCTGTGATTTTGACAACTCTAGGTACCTCATGTAAGTGGAATCATTCATTAATTATACTTTTTGACTATCTTATTTCATTTAGCATAATGTCTTCAACGTTCAACCATATTGTAGCATGTGTCGGAATATTTTCAGTTTTAAGGATGAATAATGTTCCATTGTATGTATACACCACATTTTGTTTATCCGTTCATCTATAAATCGACACTTGGGTTCCTTTCACTTTTTGACTATTCTGAATAATGCAACAATGAATGTGGGTATAAGAGTGCCTATTTAAAGCCAGTTGCCAAAGTGGGCAACTGGAGTTTAATCCCACAGGGATACTCTGCACATTGAGTATTTTATAGCAACTTCTGTCAGTCATTGGGTTGACGCTGCTTGGGAGATGTAAATTTCCTGCCTCTCTGGCCTTCTTAACCAGGAGCTTCCAGAGCAACCATCTGTTGTTCTGGCAAAAGCTCTCAGACATGGGAATAGTAACTCCGTCAGCAGAAGCCAACAGGATACAAGGAAAGTGGTAATGTCCCAGGGATATGGGTGAGCCACTGAGGGCCGCAGCCACAGGAATCTTGCACGTTCATCATAATCACATCCATTAGTTAGGTCCAAGGTTTTTCTCGAATCCGTCTTAACACACAGCTTCTCAATTGTTCTTCCTATTTCCCGTCTCTCTCCTTTCCACACTCTCCTCCTCAATGCTGGCAAAATGATGTTTTTCTAAAACGCAGATTTAAACCTGCCAATCCTTTCCTTGAAAACCTGCTGTGATGATGCCTGGTCTACCCTAGAATTAAACTCTTCCTGCTTTTCACTGTCAGGTCCAGTCGTACCTCTCTCCCTACCTTCTCATATATGCCACGACAGACCACACTCTTTCACCACCTTGAACTTTTGCTCTTGCTGTTGTCTAGGTTCTCCATGCTCTTTCTCCATGTGGCAAAAATCCAATGCCTTCATCAAGGCTCAGCTCAAAGGGCACCTGCTCTCTGATGTTTTCTCTAATGTCTCCTAGGCAAGACTAATTTTTTTCTCCTGTTTACTGGTTGGCTGTTCCTCTGCCTCAATGGTTATTATATTGTTTTAATTATTAGCATCTCTCTCTCTCTTCCTAGATGTTGAGCTGTACCAGGCATTTCTGTGTCTCCAAGTCCATGTACGTTTACTCAGTAAATGTGTGTGGGTTGAATAACTGGTTAGTTAAATGACTGACTATGAAAGCTCATCAAAAGGCAATGAAAAGCTAGTGAACTTCTTTAGAATCCTGTCACTCACTCTAGTGGTTGGTCGTCTGGTGTATGAACGATGTTAGAAGGAAATAAGCGGGAGCAATAAATGTTGTTTTGAAATCGTAGTGTAGACCAGTATCAAATGTTCACCGTGAGAGACACTTCTAGTATTAAGGTACACCATTTAACAGGAAATCAAGGTGTGTGTATAGGATATGAAAACATTTTTAGCAGCTTGTGCCAACAACAATATAAAGCCTTCCTTGTGAAAATGCAGGAGCTTATGGTATCACTCGCCAGTTATCAGAGAACATTAACTATCAGTAGTTCTGTAATCTGGCATCTGGATGCACATCACGTGTTAATAGAAGGCTTCTATAGTGTATAAATACACTTCATCTTATTATTGTTTGTGTGATAGCCCCGAATGTAATTATTCCTGGTTTTATGTAAAAATCTGAAAATGCTTAAGGTTTCTCATTATGGACTATAGTTCTCCTTGGAGGCTGGAGTGTGGGTCTGGGGATGGGGTGAGGCTTCCCGGAGGCCACAGCTGCCCTATGAGAGTGACGGTCTGGAGAAGTGCAGTGCCCGGTAATGGAAGGGAGGATTTTGCTTTGTGGTTGGAACAGGACACTTAAATGTGGGGAAGTGGGGGGCCTAGAGGCAGACCACAGAGTCTATTCACAGAAGTTTACAGGGCCAAAGTGAGGAGTCAAATGTGGCTTTGAGGCAGCAACAACAGTGAATGGGAATACAGCAATGTGGACAGTTACCAATACTTGCGTAATATTTTTGATCATGTATCAATGGAAAGGAGAAAACGTCTACATTTGTGATAGGGTTAGAGAGAATTTTGCAATGAGCTGCAATATAAAGAAGCATTCAAGGTAGCTTAAAGAATCGGGCTTTACTGGATCAAAGTGCGGGCACAGTTTACAGCGAAACATTGTTGGGCAAACTCAGACTTCCCAAGACCCAAAGACTTCTCCAAGATCTTACTGTAGTAAGACTAATTTTGGAGGCAGAACAGGAGGATGCCTCAGCGGCCCTCAGGGAATAGAAGAGCTGAGCAGTGTTGGGCATGGAAGTTGCAGCTCAGACTTGGGAAGATGGAGGAAGAAAGTGTCACTTCCTTGTTAGAAGCAGCATCCCTGACAGAAGCTTCTGAGTCTTCTGTTTTTGTCAAAATGCTCTTTATGATGAGTGGCAGCCCACAAAGATCCAGGGCCCCTCTCTGATTCTAACGCGGGGAACACATTGAAGAGAATACACAACCCGTTTTCTGTTTCTAGTGGGAGGAGAAAAGACCCTGAGGACAACCATGGTTGTGCCAAGAGTTGAGAGTAACTCATCAGGCACCCCGCCCCCAAATCCATTAGTTGGCATTTCAGATAATTATTTCTTCCCTTGCATAGTTACCGGTTCTCTCATTAGGACTTAAAGCGCTCTGGGAGGCTAGGAGTTGAACCCACTGAGGGAGAGTCCCTGCTCCCATTGGTGGCATAGCTTGGAAGAGAATGAATAGGTTTGATAGCGCCTGTCCCCTCTATTTGCAGGAGGCAGACAGCCTGAAGGGAAAGACAGTGTGCCTGCCTATTGCTGCTTCTTCTCAGTTCAGAATCAGAGCCTCACAAGAGCTCCTTAACACCACGTGATAGCCAAGATGGAGAGAGAAGCTGAGGATGGAGCCCACCTTTGTGGCCAACCTTAAATCCTAAAGCTACTGGGTTTAGGTAGAAAAGATGACATTCCACTTCCTGGTCTCCCAAGGTCTGACAAAGTCTGCTGACACGTGAGGTTCCCTGTCTGATCCAGTGGCTTCAGATCTAGGGGAGTCCAAGCTGAGGAGAAGAGTCTTTGACTAGGAAGGGGGCTCCTGTCATGTGGATGGGGGGAGAGGGTTGGGATGAGACCCTCTATGTCTAGGGGATAGGGAAGAAAGTCATATGCCAAGCAGGCTGTGGGAATCCTGGTTCGAGGAGAATTAAGAGGGGCTTGGGTGGAGAGGCAGGGGGCTTGAGGAGAAGGACTGGACGCCGCAAATCACCACTGGATCTTGTGTTTCCCTCATCCTCTTCTTGGAGGAAAGATTCTATGGGACACATTAGTAAGGGACTACGCAATTATCCCCTCCCTCTGTGGAGAGTGGAATAAAAAGCAGTTTTGTTGTTTAATACCCCAACTGCCTCCTAGGGAGTGGATCTTGACAAATAACAATACTCAAGTCTCTGCCCTGCCCCTGCCCTGTTTTTTTTATGCTGAATCCCTAGATGGCTTAGTGATGAAGCCAGGTAATAAGAACTGCTGAGGGCTAAATTGTCCCGGCCAACTGAGGAAGAATTTGAAGTTCCTTTGCTAATCCAGGAGTGACGAGGTGAGCTCCATAGAGATATTAGAAGTGAGGGTTTGACGCTGGGTTATGTAAGACGAAATACCAGAAGTTTCCCTGGGGTGAGTTGTATCAAGAATGCAATACTTATGTTCAACCGGAATGTATTGAAGTTGATGTAATGAAGACCCTCCTCTTCCATCAGCTTCAATGTGGATGTTCAGTAAACTCATGACTGGCGAGTTTCGTTTCTTTGGTGTGAAGTGGACGGAGCCTCAGGGGATGGGAGAGACACAGTGTGCAAGGATCCAGGAGCCCAGAGCTGGAGGCAGCCATGAAAATGGGAGTCTCCTCGTTGACTTTGTTTGTTTGAAGGGTCTGCAATTGAGTGATTCAGTCAGCCTGAATCTAGCTGTACAAGGGAGGACGACCCTGGGTGACACTGGGTCAGATAAGAACAATTTCGATGAAGTGGTGAGGGCAGAAGCCGGATATGAGCTGCCCGCTCCTGAATGAGTCAGAGGCAAGAAAAGAGAAACAGCGTCGTGTGGGTAATTCTTCTAAGTCACGAAAATAATACAGAATGCAATTTAGCTGGTGAAATCTTGCATACATTACACTGCAGATCTTGCATACGTTACATTGTACTTAAAGGAACAGGACACAGTGTATGCTAAAAGAAAGAAAGGAAAAAACAGTTGAAATGTTTCCAAAGCAACATTTCTGTTTCAGATTTCACATTTTCACTTTGTAGACCAGTAAGTAAGTTCGATTCCCTTCCCTTCAGGTTAGGTGAAAAGTGGGTGGATCAAATCAGTTGGGAGACTTTCAAAATGACGTGGAGCTCCAAGGGCAAGGAATATGTATGCAGGCTTACACCCTTGTGGGAAACGCCAATGCCCAGTTATGGCTGGTGTCTGGTTTGTGGGCCAGTATAGGTGTCAGAATTTAGAATTCTAGAGATAATTTCCCCTTCGAAACAGAACAACAACAAAGACTACAATGGGTTCTTTACAGACTATGGACTTAAATGTGGGCTAAAATTAAATGAGCTAACTTCATTAGTTAAGGTGTCCTGTAAAAAAAAAAGCCAAATTGGAAGTAAAATGCTAGTGGTAAGGGTAGGTGAGCACTTAGTGTTTTCGGGATTACATGTTTTATAAACTTGGAATAAAACAAAATACAGAGGGGAAGGAGAGGCTTTGCAAATTCTTGAACCCTCTTTCAATTGTCTGTATGTGGCTTCTGCAGCTATGACTTTCCTTCCACTGCCTCCTCCCCTGACCACACACCCTTTCTCTTAGCCCCAAACACTCAGGCATGAAAATTATGTGCGTAACTTGCCATTTTCCGGTTTTCATTAATTCAACTGCTTCATTGATTTTATCAAGATTCAGAGTATGGGTAATTAGTGGATCTAGATTAAACTTCTTTGCCATGTAATCAGAAACCAGTTTAGAGACGTTCTCTCTGCTTTTCCAGCCTGGAAATACACAAATTAACAACAGATTTCACCCACAGGAGTCACTATAGAGGAAGGGCCATACAAGGTAACTACGGGCGGTGTTGGCTTCAGCTGAGAAAATCTAAGGATTCCCATTAACTTGTCTCACTCATCAGGAGGATGCCTGTCCCAACCATATACCCTGTGTAGAAGGCTGTTATCCTGAAGGAGGCCTTTGGTAGTATGGAGGAGAATTTAATTAAAGCAAGTGGAACATGGACCTTGTATTAGATGTTCTTGGTGTCAGGCTGCACCACCTGGGGGGCTATACATCCATGTCTAATGTGTAAAAATGGCCGAGGTCTTGGGAACCATTAAAGGAATCAATACAAAGGTTAGAAATAGAACGCTTCCTTTGTGTGTGTGTGTGTTTGTGTGTGTGTGTGTGTGTTTATCTTCAGCTTGATGAGCCAAATATCTTAAGAGAAGAGAAGAACTTTTACCATGGCAGTGATTTCAGTGTCAGCTCTTGGAAAAAGAATGTGTACAAAGCAAGATAAGAAAAAAATGTGCCTGCTGGAAGTGAGAATTGCACAGGGAAAGATGGCATCAGCTAAGGTAACATAAGCTTAGCCCTGTATTTTCCCTATTCTCATGATTTTCAAGAAATTCTATCCTTATATTTAGCACTGTGCTGAGCAACATGTCCAGAGAGTTACCATGCAGAATTTGGTGGCCTGTTTATTTCTGGGAAGGGTGAGTGTGGTGCAATTGTACAAGGTGGCTACAGTGTCCTAAGCATCTTGTTCTGCCACAGAATCTTGGCAGTTCCTTGCTTTTCTTGGTTCCAGCCTGGGCCAGGTTCTCCAGCCTTCCCACTTATTCTCAAAACTACCGAAAACTCTTCCAATCAATTTATTTTCTATTTATATTGGTTTCTGCTGTATGAAATCAAGAATTCTAACTAGTATTCTATGTCATGACACTATGGGCTAGTGTATTTTTCTACTTGTTTTTGTCTTTTTTTAAAAAAATTGGGATATAATCAACATGACATTGTATTAGTTTTAGGTGCACAACATAATGATTTGACATACAGTCATGCGCTGCATAATGACATTTTGGTCAACGATGGACCGTATATACAACAGTGGTCGCATAAGATGAGTACCATATAGGCTAGGTGTGTAGTAGGCTATACCATCTAGGTTTGTGTAAGTACACTCTACGATGTTCACACAATGAGGAAATTGCATAACACGCATTTCTCAGAACGTATCCTCATCATTAAGCGGCACATGATTGTACGTGTAAATGGTGAAATGATTACTACTAAACTACCGCTAAGGTAAGTTCAGCTAACGTCTATCACCACAAATTTCTTTTTCTTGTGATGGCAACTTTTAAGATCTGTCTTAGCTTTTACCTTTTGATGGGTGATCTGCTAAAGCATTTTCATGTCTGCGTAAGGAAAATTTTCACTTGTTTTTGTTTCTTCTTTCAACCAAACAAAGGGTCCAGGACCACAGACTAGGCTGAGCAGCGTTTCTTAACAGGAGAACTATATGGCATTTTGGGTGGGGAAAATTCTTCATTGTGTACAGTGTAGGAGGTTTAGCAAGCTGTCCAACAACCACTCAATGCTCCTTCATTGAAAACTACTAAACTAGAGGATTATACTATCTATGGAAGGAATTAATTTACGTTAATGTTCACTATATGAATATTTAAGTGGCCAGTGAAATAGTTTCTTTATTAGGATTATTTAAAATATTGGTGCTCCTATCATACAAGAGTTAGCTGAGTATGGGTATTTGGAATCAACAGTTATCCTACATAAATACAACAAAGGGAAATAGCAATGGGTATGTCCAATTACCCCAAATGGAGGAACTGAAAATTACAGTTTAAACTGGACTATTACTTTTTTTTAAAGGTTTTATTTTCTTTTTCCTTTTACTCCCCAAATCACCCCCAGTGCATAGCTGTATATTCTTCGTTGTGGGTCCTTCTAGTTGTGGCATGGGGACGCTGCCTCAGCGTGGTTTGATGAGCAGTGCCATGTCCGTGCCCAGGATTCGAACCAATGAAACACTGGGCCGGCTGCAGTGGAGCGCGTGAACTGAACCACCTGGCCACGGGACCACCCCCTGGACTATTACTTTTTTTATGCTGGCCCTGCCATTTATCTACTCTTCATAAATGAATTGGGTAAGACTCCTAATATCTGTAGCAATACACCGCCATAGCTAATTTGGAGACCACAGATAGCTCAGTAGTCCAAATGATGCAGATAGCTCCTAATTCTGACATCTTTTGCCCAAGAATTCAGATTGCTCAAAATTGCTAGATAAACACGTTTAGTTTTAAATTTCAGATTACTTGTTTATGAGCCAAGAATCCTAAGCAGATATTTTTAATTTTGTTTGTTTTCTACGTTCTCAATGAAAGATTCTTCTAAAGTCTATAAAAAATACAAGCTCTAAGACAGATTTAAAAAATGGAAAATCAAAGGATTCTATTAAAAAAATTGTTTTCCTCTAGAAAAAAATAATTCTCATTTGCTTTTTGTCAATAGTATTTCTTTTCAATCATGAATCCATTATGTCTAATGTTTTGAGCTGGTGTAATGACCACTCAATTGGTTCAGAAAAGATTTACGTTAGGTGATCAATGACTACTAGTGGGTCAGTATATCCTCCAAAGAATCCCAGTTGGCAGGTACATAACTCAACTGGAGTATAGTTATTGATCACAATATTGCCTTTTCTTTTCAAGTTAGAATTTGCATTAAACTTTGGACACTGGTTTCTTCACCCATCAATTTTTAAAAATCTCTTCTCTCCTTTTGCAAGAGAAAAAGCTTACCAAGAAGCAACTGTGTACATCCAATACCCATCTCCTTCCCTTTGATATTTCCGTGTTGAAACAAGAAGTGTAATCTAAAGCTCTTGTTTATATTCCTTCTCAAGCATTTATGACACATTTCTCTATCTCTCACCTCCAAAACCCCATGGATTTTCACTCTTCCCTATTTCATCCATACCTCCAAAAACAGACCCCTTCAAAGAACGTCCTGAGAAGAACAACCAGCCACTGATGTTGAGCTGGGTACCAGCAGCCAGGAGCCCAACAATCACGCAGACCCCATGGCTCTCGTGGCAGGAGGCGAGGGCAGCGGCCTGTCGTAAAGCAAGACAAGTCAATGCAGGAGTTAAAGTAGGTACTGGAGAGATGGACCTAAATCTGAACCTCAGCTTGACTGCTGAATGGTCTGTGGCCTTTTCTGATTCTCCCTGTTCTCATTTGAAAGAACGTTTATTTTATAAGGATGAACTAAAGCATAAAGAAAACATTGTGTGCTACCCAGTAGAGTATCCCTCACTTTAGGACTTCATAAATAGAAATTAAAAAGTGAAAATGCTAAAGGCACCCATGGTAGTAACAACAATAATAATAATAACCATAATAAATTTTATAAGAACCATTGCTGACACTGGTGGTTGGTTAGAGCTGACATTTTCTTTTAGACATTGAAGAGTACAGTTGGATATTTGCACAGTGTAACGTATTAGCAAATTGATAAGCAGCTATGTTCCCATTGGTTATCTTCAAAGGCTGTTTCTCAGAGCAAGACTATCTGTGGGACAGACTGCGAGAAAGGTTTGCTACAGCTTTTTACAGACAAGGGAATTTATGTGTAGTGAGGAGTGAAAACACTTTGTAAACTGAGGAAAGGACCCAGATTGGAAGAGACAGTTCTTGAGTTTCCATCCAGCTGCCTAGAAATGGAGCCATGCAACTGAATGATATGCTATTTCTACAAATCCCCAAAGAGAGCAAGTGAATTTCAGATTGTGAAATAACTTCCTCTCCATTTATATTCTCTCTTATAAACCATGTTCACCCAGAAAAACACCATGTTTTTTCCTTCATTTTGGAAGTGAACCCATTTAGTGAAGATTTGTAAATATTTTGCTTGAAAGCTTATCGCAGATCCAACATGAAAGACTTTGCTGAATGTGCAAAGCTCACTGCTCGTAGGGTCATTAAACCAATATTGTCCTATTTTTGCTTGCATGCTCTGGCTTAAATTCTAGTTACCAGGTAGCTGCGTGTTACGACATAATTCGGGGAGAACCCTTGCCAAAGCCTTTGCGTCCTGCCTGTTGGAGGTTGTCTGCTTATTTGAAGGATCGGTCTGATGGAAGAGAAGGAGAAGGAAACTCAGTGAGGGGGTTCATTGTTTGGGATGGTGACTAGACTTGTAGGAGTGGACAGAGGGGACCAGCTGGGATGTCATGGAACACAAGGAAAATTAAAGAGAAGACTGTGGAGGGAATTTCAGAATTTTCCTTCAATTAATATCTTAAATGATGACTGGTAGGAATATAGGTAATTTTCACTCCAGAGGATCACATACCACAGTTGCTGGATTTCCAATGGCCTCAAAGCAAAATTCCACACCAGCACCTGTCATATCAAATAAAACTTCCTGGATGGGTTTCTCGAAGTCCTGAGGGTTGATGCAGTCAGTGGCACCCACTTCCTTTGCTTTCTCAAATTTGTCTTTGTTGATGTCCACCCCAATGATCCTGGCTGCTCCTGCTGCTTTACAGCCCATGATAACAGACAGGCCTACTCCTCCAAGGCCAAACACAGCACAGCTGGAGCCTGGGGTCACCTGAGCACACAAAGGCAGAAAACAAAAGGAAAGAGGACATGTACATTTACTCAGTTGGAAAGACCAAGTCTGTATATACTTTTCATGAGACAGAAGCAAAGGACATTTTCAAAGAAAACACAATTTAACTAGAGAGTTTTAGATTCTCAAGATATTTCTCAGTATGGGTTACTTTTTGCCAGATAAGCACAAACTGCCTGCAAATAGAGGGTTTCAAGTCCCAGGAACCAGCGTGAGGAGAAGAAGTTTAATGAAATTTCATTGAATCTTAAGACTTATTTGACAGAGTATTTGATTCCAGACATTTTTGAATTTTTTTACACCATCCCCATCTTCCTGCAACCCTTCCTTTCTCTTTCCTTTTGGGCATCTGTAAACTTTGCATTACTTACAATGTCAATGCCTTATGAAGGCAAAGTCTTATTTTTTATTGGGTCCAAAATGAGGCTAATTTAAGTTGAACCACTTCCATCCTATCTGTGTAGTATTGAGACTAATGGATGTTGGGAAAAACAAAGAGCCAGAATTCAACAGCCACTTAAAGAAGGGAGCTGGGAAAGTTTGTGTGATGTTCCAGAAATAGCCTGTTAACAGGAACCCAAGCTATTGGTGTGAGATTGCCTGACCATTCTGTCTAATATAGCAACACCCCCTCCATCACTTGCTCTCTTTGTTCTTCTTTTCTTTTTACGAGCACTCATCAGCACATGCTAGATTATAAAACAGAACAGAAGCTCCATGCGTTTTACTAGCTGCTGAATCCCAGCACCTGGATCAGTGAACGGCTCCATAAATGTTTGTTGCATAAACCAAAGAATGGACTGGAATGTGGAAGGACACATAGTCATTTTGCGACTGTGTTATGTTTAACTCCCAGGAATTCCTGAGGTCTCCACTTGTGAATGGCATCCAGACTTAATTTGCCACTTACTACTGATCAAGAGGGCATGGGAAAGATGTTGAAGGGGGCGTGGGATCACTAGGCAGATAGTAAAGAACTCAAGGATGTTTAGAGGCAGGTTTGTGATTCTTTCTGAGGTTGTGTGATGAGACATGGGCCAGATGCATGAGGCCTTTCAACTCCATATGCCAAGAATTCCGTTCATCGTGGGTACAAACACTCCTCACCTTGGCTGTAGTGATTGCAGCACCATAGCCCGTGGAAAAACCACAGCTAATGAGGCAGACCTTCTCCAGAGGTGCGACTGCATCAATCTTGGTAACCGAGATTTCTTTTATCACTGTGTATTCGGAAAAGGTGCTTGTATTCCCAAAGTGATATACTGGTTTTCCTTTGCAGGTAAACCTGCTGGTACCATCAGACATCAGGCCGGTTTTTGATTGTCTTTTATAGACAAGAAAACAAACAAAAATTTTTATTTTGAATTAGAAACCACTTCCAAGGAAATTGAATTGATTTTTCACAAAAGAAAATACTAGTAAAGACTTACTTGAATTGTACACAAAAATTGCCCCCAGGATTAAGGCAAGAGGCACATTCTCCACACTGTGGTAGAAAGAGTGTGATAACTTTATCCCCTAAGAGAGAAAGATCATTGATTAAGACCTTATTTTTTAAAGCAAAGAGATAGCTGTCTCTCAGGACTTCAACAACAAGGCACCCAAGAAAATATGCTAAGTGGAATTATTTCCACATTTAACTGTGCTTGATACTATGGGGAATACCAAATACTTGCAAAAAGAGGGGCTATCTTCAGCATATGGGTCTAGCCCTGGCTAAGCGACTGAATCCCAAGAGCTGGCACCAGGTTTGCCTCCTTTGTAAGTTCCACTTAAAGCACTAAACAGTTTTGTCAGGTAGCCATTGAGCCAAGTCTTGTCTTACATTTTCTCCACTAACTTCTGCTGTCAGGGATCAGATTTAAAATAGTTCCGCTACCACGCACTCATAGAATAAGCTTCTGGATCAGGGAGAAAGGCTGGTGTGTACCCTGCCCTCTGTATTTCACCTCAGTCCCTTGTCCTTGGCCATGGAGACCAAAAGTAGGAGATTTCTCTAGTAATGTTCACAGTATAAGGAGAAGATTAGAACAACTTGCCAGGGCTGGACTGACTGACTGCCCCATTGTCTAGCACTGTAAACCAGAGCAACTCATTTCATATTTTTAGTTAAAAATCTTTGTAGGATTTAGGCTTTTCTGTTGTATTTAATTTTAGTTTTTAAAAAGTAATCCATATATATGGTAAAATTTAAATTGCATAAAAATGAAAATTGACTGCCTTGTCTCCAGTCCCCCTTTCCCCACTGCAGCAACAATTACTGTGATCAGTATCTGTGGTATCTTTCAGAGATAAACGCCTTTACAAACACAAAGGCTAGCCTACTGTTGACCGCATCGTAGGCCTTGCTTTTTTACTTAACAATGTATCTTGGAGATTTCTCATTTCAGTATGGAAAGCACTCTATCGTTTTGCTTACTAGTTACATAGTGTTGTGCTGTATAGATATATCATAATTTATTTAACAAGTCCCCCAGCCACTGAGAGGTATTTAGGTCGTTTCCTGTTTTTCTTTTTTTTTACTTTTTTCCCCCGACATGGAAAACAACAATGCAGTGAATAGTTTGTGCCCACATGGGCTGTGGTTGGCACAATTTTTAAATAGCCCCCCAGAGGTGTCCTGTCCTCAGAAACTGAACATGTTGAGTTATCACGCCTGTGAATATGTCGCATGGAAAGAGGGACTTTGCAGCTGTAATTAAGGTTACTAATCAATTGACATTAAAATAGGGAGGTCATCCTGGATTATTTAGATAGACCTAAGGTAATCACAGAGCCCTTGAAAGGAGGCAAGAGGAAAGCAGAAGAGGAAGACAGGGTGAGTCAAAGCACAAGAAAGACTTGATGTGTCATTGCTGCTTTGAGGCTGGAAGGGGGCGAGGGGGCCACACAAGAAACAACGTGAGCAGCTTCAAGGAGCTGCAGGCAGCCCCAGCTGACAGCCGGTTCCCTGAGGTTGAGGACCTCAGTCCTACAGCCTCAAGGAATTGGATTCTGGCAACAACTTGAATGAGCTTACAAGTGGAGCATTCTCCAGAGTCTCCAGATAAGAACCAGCTGGCCGGTTCCTTGATTTTGACCCTGCAAAACCCTAAGCTGAGAACCCAGCAAACCCACCCCGACGTCTGACCTATAGAAACTGCGAGAGAATACATTCGTTTTGTTTTAAGCTGCTAAATTTGTGGTGAGTTTTTACACCAACAATAGAAAGCTAGTACATGGGTATATATGTATGAAATAACTGTCTAGAATTGAAAGTATTGGGTCTGAAACATATTCATTTAAATGACGTTACCTATTGCCTCACTTAGAGTTGTGCAAATTTACTTTCCAAATAGTAAGGTCTGAGGGGGTTGTTTGCCTCCACTCTTGTCAACCTTATGTACTATTGAACTTTTAAATCTTTGGTAATGTTAGGTAAAAAAGTGTTTTTAAAATTGTGTTTTAAAACTTTATTTAATGTGTTTGAGGTCGCGCATCTTTTCATATGCTTAAAAACATTGGTATGCGTGTTTATATCTATCTATCTATATATATGTATTTTTTTTCTCTCCGAACTAGATATGTATTTATTTTGCTGATTTCTACTGGGTTATTTTTTAAAATTGCTTTTGAAGGATTCTTTATGTATTAGGGAAATCTGTCCATTGTCATATTGGTTTGTTGATTTTTGGGAGGCATTTTTGGTACAGAGAATTTTAAGAAATTTTTATGTTGTCAAATTTATCTCTATATTATTATGTGTCTTCTGGCTTTTTGGTGTTCATTAAAACTTCCTGCCCTTCTCTGAGGTAATACAATGTTCTCTCATGGTATCTTACGACACTTCTCTGGTTTCCCTTCACTTGGATTCACACAGTATTTTTTGGGGATAAAGAAAGCAACAGCAACTCAGCTTATTCTTTTCCCCCGATGACTATCCCATTGTTTCACCATCATTTGTTGAATAATCCGTGTTTCCCCCCTCACATTGGAAAGACAAACCGAATCCTGCACTAAATTCCTGTTCGTGTTCGATCCAGTCCTGGCATTCTCCCCTATTTGGTTCCACTAATAGGTTCGACTCTTTATCAGATGCTTCATTTAAATAATTGTTCCACAGTTTCTATTTGTAAATTTTTCTCTCATTTGCACTTTCAGTTCTGTTGCAGTGCATTCTGTTTCTTGTTCTTATTACTATTAAAATTTAAACGCAAAGAATACAATATATTTAGTGTTTTTGTGTAACTCGTAAGTATCCCTCCTTTTCTAAGAAATGGGCAACGTTTCACCTTTTATTTCACTTGATCTTAAGTTATTTAAAGGATACTTTTTATTTTCCTGATGTGGGTTCCAAGTTGCTGCTGTCTCCTAACTCCAGGTGCCCGTTCATACCTGTTTTCACCGTGCTCACTCCTTGTCCCACACTCTCGACTATTCCAGCCCCTTCATGGCCCAAAATGATGGGATAGTTGTTGTGAGAGTTTGGATTCGCCAACATTTTCATCTCTGTACCACAGAGCCCCGTGGCCACGATCTGTATGGGAGGAAAGAGTAATACAGCTCTTTCTGCCTCAGATAAAGGTGTTTTAGAGTTGTTAATGCTTTAGAACTTTTTGCTAGTTTGGTATGATGCGTTAACATTAATGCATTTATTTCTTAGTTTTAATTCTAGATGAGGATCCATAGTAATTTATTTCAAGCAATGTAATGATTTTCATTATCTAATTTCAGAATCGAAATGATGATGTTAAAACTTAGTGGGGACGGCAGATGGGTTCAGAAGAGAGTTGTAAAACCACAGTGTGACATCAAATGTCTCACTTTGTCCTTCATTGGAGCTTGTGGATGGGAGTGTGGGGGAGAAAGACCAATGATAGAAATGGAGGGATTAGAACACAGGAAGGGAAGGGATAATGTTTCCTATGACAATTGAGGCCTTAGTTTATTTCACATGAAGCCTTTAGAGTTGTGCTATTGGTACAATCATAATCCCACTTTTTTTGTCAATCAGACAGACAATTTAAATGGAGGCAATCTAGAGCAGTGGTCAAAAGTTTAAGGCTGAAATCCTGGCTCTGGCTTTCTTAGCTGTGTGACCCGGGGCCAAATCCTCCTGCGTGAGGCTCAGTTTCTTCATTTCTAAAATGGGTATGAAGTTGGCACACACACACATAACTAACTCGAGGATTGAAACCTATTGAAATTTGCTCACATAAAAGGGACATTATTGGAAGAATACCATACAATTGCTAGCTACCTGACTGTGGGAAGTGCAGTCAGACCTCACGGATCTAGGAATCCATCAAGTGGCCTTTGGCTTCCTCTCCCTACTTTGATTCGACATGTGCATAGCTATTATTTTCTGCAGACAGGCTTTCTCTTACTCATCATGGTCACATGATCACCTGACAGTTAAAAATGGCTACCAGGCCTGAGTCCATCCCGTCTCTCCAGTGGCCACAATCCCTGCCTTGCTCTGTCTCTGTATTTTGTTCAAATTCACGAGTGAGAGATTCAGGTCTGTAGCTTGTCAGGTAATGGTTGGATGTCTTGCAGTCAGTGTCCAAATCTGATGTGTGAGTTGTGACCCTGTGGGTGGAGAGTGGATGAGGCTAGCCAGATGGCCCACTGTACACTCCCTCAGGGGATGTAGGCCAGGGAATGCTCTCTGAGAAGAGGGCATGGGTTGTGCAGGTAAGGTAACCTAGAAATGACTGTCCATTGGTAAGCCATTAATAAAGAGTACTTATCCATCATTATTAAAATTAAATAATAACAGTTAAGTCACCCTGAACTAGGAGTCAGGTGAACTATGTTCTGGTCTGGAGGTCCCCTGATAGAATCACCTGGAGGAGATTTAAAAACCTTAGGACCAGCCTGCACCCCAGACCAATTAAATCACAAATTCAGATTGTCTGGGGGTGGCACCCAGTTATCAGCATTTCCAAAGCTCCCAGATGATTCCAAATGTGTAACCAAGGGTGAGAAAAACTGTTGCAGTCTGTGTTCTTACTGTACTTAGCTGTGTGAACAGTCACTACGCCCCAGTGGATTTCAATCTTCTCATCTGTAAAATCAGTTTCCCCTGGGTCCCTTCCAGCTCTAACCTGAATTTCCAGGATTCAGACTTGATTTATCCGTAATCACATTTTTCGTACAACATATTTCAAGATAACTTAAATATTATAAAGAATGTTATTAAGGAATTTAAAAGTACAGATTAGAATGTGGTTCGTGGGTAGAAACTTCTTTTATTTCGTAATTAGTACTATAGCTGCAAATAAGTATCCTTTGGGGGTATTCAGCCTATTCCAAACCTGTTTAACCTGTTCTTTGGCTGTATTTAAAGACTGATGGAAATGTTTAACGAAGAGGAAATAGAAGAGATTGCAGTTTTCTTTCTGAATTGAACATTGTGAAAAGAATGTATAACAAAGTGAACAGCTCTGATTTTTGGTGTGGACATGATGTGGAATTTTCTTTTTACCTTTATGCGAACTTCCTTTGCCTTTGGTGGGGCCACTTCTATTTCCTCAATGGCAAGTGGTGCACCAGGCTTCCAGTGTATAGCTGCTCTGCACCTGATAACCTGGCAAATAGAATATGGGGTCAAAAGGGGAAACTCCTTAGGCTTGGGAGATGGAAGACACCTGTGTTAATGATTTTTAGGGGGCTTCCTCACTCAAACCAAAACAAAGAAAAAATCATTGCTTTAATATGTGCCGTATGTAGCCTCTCAAACCTCAATCCAACTCTTTCGTACTCTCAGTCTCTGTATTGAAATTAGATTTGCAATACTAATTACGTGCACATACTGTGACACAACCAAGAGGATAGATGTCCTACTTTTGCTCTTACCATGAATGATGTTGTGTAGTGGCTGTTTCAGGGAAGGGATGGCATTGCAGTGTGAGAGTTATTTATGATCCTGGGTATGGGACACAGTCAGCTTTGGGGTGGAGGGGTGTGGAGCAGGGAATGAAGACCATCTGGTTGTGGCAATTCCTCAAATGGTGGTGGTCATTTTCAGATTGAGGTTGGAGAGGTTGTTGGTGGCAGGGTAGTTCTTAGGGCTTCAGATTTCAGCCCACCACTGTCCTCCCTATAAATTCTCTTTCCATGTGGTCTCATCTATTTTTATAGATTCAACCACTACCTTTATGAAAATGACGTTCACAGTCTGCATCTGTGAACAGACTTGTCCCTAAGCTTTAGACGTATTTATTCATCTGCTGTTTGAATGCGCTACAGGTACCTCAAAGACAACATGTTAAAACATGAACACATCACTCTTTCTTTCTCCTGTCTTCCCCACCCCCACACCAGCGGTGGACACAATCTACTCCTCCCACTGCGTTCTCTATTTCAGTGAGTGGCCATGTAACCTATTCACTCACCCAAGAAAGAAACCCTGGAAGTAGACTTAAGTTCTCGCTCTCCTTCAACCTCTATGATCTAAAATTTTTTGGAATCTGTCCCCTCTTCTCCATTCTTCATACTACTGTATGGTCCAGGTCCTCATGCCTTTCACCTGGCTTGAGTTCATCACCTTGAAATCCATCCTCTATCTCATTGCCATCTGAACTATAATCCTGATCATGCTAATCCCCTACCTAAAAATGATATTGCTACCAATTGTTAATGAGGATCTGTTGATATGGTCTACAAGGCTTTCCATGATCTTCTCCCTGTCAGCCTCTCCAGCCTTATTTCTGGTCACTTCCTGCCTCAGACTTTACCCTCCAGGCACAAAAAATATTCCGGAGATTCTCATATAGGATATTTTTCTTGCTTCTATGTTTCTCCTCATCTTGTTTCTTCCCCCTGTACAACCGTCTCCTCTTTTACTTGGTGAATTCTTAGCGCTACAAGTTTCCTCTTAGGTGTCGTCTTCTCTGGGAAGCCAAGCCAGGTTAGGAGTACTTCTCCTCTCTCTCTTTTACTACCCTTGCACATTCTTTTATAACTGTGCTTTTATAATTACTGTGTCTCTTTGTGAGATCCTTGGAGGAGGCGACATGTCTCTGACTCTGGAAAATTGGATAGAGGGCTTGATATATTGCTTATTGAAGGACTGAGAAAACTGAGGAAAGGCAAACTGCATACAGGGAAAGAAGGAGAGGTACTAAGCCCAAGAGCCTCTCACCTGGAGGGGTGCTGTACAGAGACTAGGTGGGCGACGAGCTGTTGGTAAATAAGCAAGCACACAAACTGACACAACAAAGACGTGACATAAAGGAGAAGACTGCACTTACCTTCCCTGTAGTATTCATGCTGACTTTCTTAGTGTTCTTGACACAGAGGAATATATTGAGAAAGGGAGACTCTCATTACAACTTTCACTGTGGAAAGTCCAAGAGTACACAGGTCACTGATCAGTAGAGACTGAGTCCTGAGCTTTTTGTTTAATTAGGTAATTATTATCCCTGTTGCCTAGAAACTCAGATTGTCCTGTTTCTTGAGGGAGGTTCCAAAGTATAATCTGAAATAGATGTAGCTGAGTGAAAGGGCACAAAATGTGAAATTGTGTAAAGGTTTTATTCCTTCTTCTCTCAATCATGAAGTTCTCCTCTTAGCACCCCCTCTTTTGAGGTTTAAATTTGGTCTTTTTTTTTGCTGAGGAAGATTAGCCCTGAGGTAACATTCATGCCGATCTTCCCCCTCTCTATATGTGGGACGCTGCCACAGCATGGCTTGACGGATGGTGTGTAGGTACACTCCTGGGATCTGAACCTAAAAACTCCAGGCCGCCAAGCAGAGTGCGTGAGCCCAACCACTACGCCACTGAGTCAGCCCCTAAATTTGGTCTTTTACATGCCCAAGTTCAGACTTTCTAACAGAGTCTATAAAATTGCCTCTTTTATGTTGTTTCTCACATGCAGATATGATCATCTGTGTCTCTAAACTTGAGTAGTCCTTTTGATTTTCTAAACCTGTGTCTCATTGTTAAGGAATTAGGATGTTACTAGAGAGTTTTTTCTAGTAGTGTAGCGTAAGCTCCTCACGTCTTGGTGTGCTGAGCTGATTACTCAGAGGAAGTGAAACCAATTTGCATAAGGAGCCTGACCATCAGGATTTGGATTTGAGAAAACCTCTGTATGTGAACTAAGAGAGTGTTGACCAGGACCCAAGACCCTGATGAACAAGAGGCACAAGGAAATGCATTTCCAATGAAAGGCAACAGCAGTGGGCAGGTTTTAGCTAGAAGGGAAGAGAAGAAGAGAAAATGGTCTTTCTGTGACAACTGGTACTGTCATATGATTTTTCTTCTTTAGCACGTTGATGTGGTGGATTAAATTGATTAATTCCAAATGTTGAACCAGTCTTAACAGACCTGGAAAAAATCCCCCTTGGTAATTCCTTTTATATATTACTGGATTAATTTTGCTAATGTTTTTTTTTTAAAGATTTCTGAGTCTATATTTATGAGAGTTATTGGTGTTAGTTTTCTTTCTTTTCACTGTCTTCATCTGATTTTGGTGTCATGGTAATACAATTTCATATACTCGACCTCCTCCTCTGAGGAATTAGTCCATTTCATACAGGCCGTCAAATTTATGTAAGTAGAGCTGTGCTCTCTCTCTTTGTTTTAAAAAACAGCTTTATTAAGACACAATACACCTACTATACAATTCATCCATTTAAAGTGCACAGTTTAACTTTTTGTGTATTCACAGATATGCGCAACCATCACTACAATCAATTTTTGAATACTTTCAACTCAGAAAGCGATCCCATACCTCCCTGTGCCTTCATTCCACCCCCGCCTCCCCACCAGCCCTACACAACCACTCACGTACTTTTTGTCTCCATAGATTTACCTATTCTGAACATTTTACATGAATGGAATCATATGATATGTGTTCTTTTATGACTGGCTTCTTTCACTTAGCATAATGTTTTCAAGGTTCATCTGTGTTATAGCGTGTATCCATATTTCATTCCTTTTTATGGTCAAAAAAATTCCATTGTATGGATATACTACATTATCCATTCATCAGTTGATGCACATTTGGGGTTGTTTGCACTTTTTTGGCTATTATGAATCATGCTGCTATCATCATTCCTGAACAAGTTTTTGTGTAGATGTATCTTTTTATTTCTCTTGGGTATATACTTAGAAATTGAATTGCTGGGTTACATGGTAGCAATCTATGTTTAATTGTTTGAGACACTGCCAGCCTTGATTCCAAGAGTGGCTGCACCATTTTACATTCCTACCAGCAGTGTGTGATGGTTACAGGTTTTCCACATCCTCATCAACATTTGATATTATCTTTTTTTTTTTATTATAGCCATCCTATATAGCATCCTGTGGGTATAAAGTGGTATCTCATTGTGATTTTGATTTGCGTTTCCCTGATATCTCATGATGTCAAGCATCTTTTCACGTGCCTATTGGCCATCTATATATCTCCTTTGGAGAAATGTCAATTCAGAGCATTTACCCACTTTTAATTGAGCTCTTTGTCTTCTTCTTATTAAATTGTAAGAATTCTTTATTCTATATATACATCTGTTATCAGGTATATGATTTGAGAATATTTTCTCCCATCCTGAGTTGTCTTTTCACTTTCTCTATAGGATCCTTTGTAGCACAAAAACTTTTAACTTGATGAAGTCCAATTTCTCTACTTTCTTTTTTTGGTTTTATAACTAGGAAATTATTGCCTAATCCAATGTTACAAAGATTAACACTGATAATTTTTTCTAAGAGTTTGATAGTTTAGCTTTGACATTTAGGTCTTTGATCCATTTTGATTTAATTTATATATGATGTGAGGTGAGGGTCCAGCTTTGTTCTTTTGTGTGGATATCCAGTTGTCCCAGCACCATTTGTCAAAAAGAATTTTATCCACAACTTGAGTGTCTGGTACCCTTGTCAAAAATCAATAGACTATAGATAGATGAGTTTGTTTATGGACTCTCCATTCTATTCTAGGTCCTTGTATTTCTATAGAATTTTAGAATCAACCTGTCAATTTTTATTTTTTTGTGAGGAAGATTGGCCCTGAGCTCACATCTGTTGCCAATCTTCCTCTTTTTGCTTGAGGAAGATGGTCGCTGAGGAGGTTGGTGTCAAGATGGCAGCATAGGCAGACTCTGAGTTCACCTCCTCCCATGAACACAACCGAGTTAGAACTTTTCTTGGAATAATTGCCCCTGAAAGAGAACTGAAAACTGGAAAAAAAAAGAACCACCACAACAAGTGACAAGAATCCCCACCTTCTGACTGAGGCAGAAGAGGCCGAAATTCCTTTCTCAAGAGAAAAAAGCCACCTTTTCAAGCCATGGATCTTCAATGTTGGCCAGGAGAAATCCTAAGGTACACAGCCTTTCCTGCCAGAGTGGGGACCTGAGCGGGGGCACATTACCACTATAAGCATCCTTTGGACTCAGCACAACTGACATGAGTCTCATAATATCTAGCTTTGCTGGCTATGAATTACAACAAGGAATACCCCTAGAAAATCTTTTGGATATAAGTGGAATAAAGCCAGCTCTTAAAGGGCCCACATCATCTGTGTCTCTAAACTTTAGTAGTCATTTTGATTTTCTAAACCTGTGTCTCGTTGTTGACACAATTCATCTATTCACCACACACAAATTCATCTGTTTCATAAAGCAACCTGAAATCACCAGAAGGAAATATGCACAGTCATTGGGGAAAAGAGACTCACCTAATAGTCTCTTGGTGCATCTTGGTGAGAGGTGAGACCTCTCCAGGGACTAAGACATTGACATCAGCCATTATTTTTACCTATGACAAGTGTGCTGGCACCGAGGCAGGCAGACACCATTGGAGCTCTTCCCCTGGCCTGTTAGCCCAGAGTCTGCCCCAGCCACTAGATTTAATCCAGCTCAGCCAGGGCAGTCAGCCTGCCCTAGGGACTGGTCCCACCCAACAGCAAGCCCTGGAGCAACTCTTTGGCCTGCATAGACTGGGAGCCTGGATCCGCTGCAGGCAGGCAAGTGGCTCTGGCTCTGTGGGGCATGGTGGAATGTGTGGGGCATTGGAGGAGGGTGTAGGGGCCACTGTGATGGGGTCACTGGGTCTGCTCCAGGGAGTTGGGATGTGTTCATGGGCCAGGACTGTGTTGATGGTGTGTGTGGACCTGTGGGCCATGGGGCTTATCAGCATCAGAAGACCTCTGCTTCTCAAACAGCTACATAGGGAATCAGCCCCACCTTCCAAAGCCCTAAACAATTAGGTGCTCCCCTGCCTGGGTCCAGCTTCACTCAGCAGCAATCCTGAGAGAGTTGACAACAGCCTTGCAGGCCAGAGGCCTACAGCATTTGTAAGCACCTAAGCCTAGCAACCAGCCATGCTGGGCACCTACTCACTTTACAGAAAAACTGCAACAGGAATGTGCTATTGGACCTTGCAGCCAACTGTGCTGGGGCTCCCCAAATCTGATAAAGTGACTGAAGAGTCCATAGCAGCCCCCCTGTAGCTCAGCATTACAACCAGCTGGCCAGGGGGCAGCCTAGACTCCCTGGGCACCTGCAGCAAGAGCAACCCTGCCACCACAGAAGGACACATGTAGCCCACATGGGGGTCAGTCTTGGAACATTTGGAACTGGTGAAAGGAGGGAAGAACACTGCTGGGCCTCAAAAGGCAGCTCTTACATAAGGCTGCTTCTCCAAGAGCAGCAGACGTAGCTGACCCACCTAACACATAGGTATAAGCACAGAGAAAGAGGCAAAATGAGGAGGCAAGGGAATATATTCCAAGCAAGGGAATAGGACAAAACCCTAGAAAAAGAACTAAATGAAAGAGAAATAAACAATCTACCCAACAAAGAGTTCAAACAAAAAGTCATAAGGATCCTCACTGATCTTGGGAGAAGAATGGGTGAACAAAGTGAGTACATAAACAAAGAATTAGAAAATATAAAAAAGAACCAATCAGAAATGAAGAATACAATACTGGAAAAGAAAACCTCCCTAGAAGGACTCAATTGCAAAGTGGGTGATACAGAAGAACGGATGAGCGAGCTGGGAGAAAGACGAGAGCAAATCACACAAGCTGAACAGGTAAAAGAAGAAAAGAATGTAAAAGAATCAGAATAGTCTAAGAGACCTCTGGGACAACATCGAGCACACTAACATTCATTTTATAGGTGTCCCAGAAGGAGAAGAAAGAGACAAAGGGGCAGAGATTGTCAGTGAGCTAGCATCTGAGTCAATTGTCTGCTATCTTATGTGGGATGCTGCCACAGTGTGGCTTGGTGAGTGATGCTATGTCTGTGCCTGGGATCCAAACCTGTGATGTCCATGCCACCAAAACAGAGTATGCTATGTTAACCACTATACCACCAGGCTTGCCCCAAGAATCAACATGTCAGGGCTGGCCCATGGCCGA